AGGGCAAGGGGGGGGGAGGCGGAGGCAGTGGTGACAATAATCATGACCTACCCACTCTGTGCCACTCATGGCCCTGCGAGCCTTGTGGCGGACCCTTGCGGGCATAGTATAAGGTGAGAGGGACGGGTGCAGGGGAGGAGGAGAGCGGTGGCTGGATGGCTGTCGGTGTCAAGGTGCGGCGTTTGGCGGCTTGCGTGGCGGAGCGTGCGTTTGACACCGAATGACGAATGACAACCAGATGCTCAGTGGGAGAAGGAGGGGTGGGGTTTGTGGGTTTGTGGGTGGGTGGGTGGGGGGAGGAGGGGGGCGCTCGACCTCGCTCCTGCCTTCGTTCGTAGCCGTGGTTGCCGTCTCGTCGACGTCCTTCTCCTTTCGACGCGCCTTTGCCTTTGCCATTGCCTTGCCTCGGGCACCTAACTCTTGTGTGGGTGCCATGGCTAGTAGTGTTGGTGGGAGTCCCAACTGGCGTGTGTGGCTGTGGTGGGCAAGGCGGTATGTATGGTTGTGGCTGTGTGTGTGGCTGTGTGTGTGTTGGGGAGGGGGTTTGAAGAGACGCGCGGTTAGCACCAGTATACTCATCGCATGTATGTACGACATCGACATCGGCATCGGCATCGGCATCGGCATTGGCATCGGCATCGGTATCATCTTTGGCGGGTGCGGACAAACTGGGTGTGGAGGCAGAACAATCCGCTGCTGGTGCGTTCGTTTGGGGCAGCAAGAGAGGCGAGTGACGCGGCGGCGACGGCGGTGGAGGCCGAGGGTGCTGGCGAGATGGGCTTCCACGCGCTGATGCACACGTGCTTGGACATGGTGGAGGAGGCGGAGGGCTCGTCAGACTCGTACCTGGGCCTGCTCACTGCCACTGAGGACTACCGCGTCTACGGGTATGTGACCAATACGCGGATCACGCTCCTGGCGGCCATCGCCGACGGCGGCGAGCTCAAGGCCTCGAACGTCGGCTCACTGCTGCGCTACCTCCACACGCTCTACATGGACGCGGTGTGCAACCCGTTCCATACTCTGGACGCTCCCCTGGCCTCGCCGCGCTTTGCCGCCGCCCTGGATCAGGTTGCCGCCACATGGACTGGTGGACTGATTCGCTGAGCCAAGTCCTTTCTGGCGGTCCGCAAGTGGGGGCTGGATCCCACTGGCGGACTGAGCCCAATCTAAAGACAATGGTCATGCTCCGTCCCAACACGCTCGATGTCAGGCCGATCGCAAGCCGATCATCGGCCGACGGGCGACCTGCAGACCCATGACGCCAAGCCCGTGTCACCGAGCCAGCCAGCACGCTACCCTTCACCACCCGTCTCTGCTCGTGCCATGGCCGAGACGCCGACAATTGCCGCCGCCACCACTACGGCCACTACGGTCCCTGTTGCCGCACCGGGCTCAAGCCCCGCCACAGACGCTGTAGACGCCCCAGGCCCGTTCCCGGACGCCGGCGTCCCGTCGGAGCACCTTGCCCAGGGTACGCGCATGTGTGACCAGCCTCTTCCCGACCCCCTACGCCTCCCCCCCTCCCCCTCCCCCTCCACCCCCCTCCCAACGCAAACGCACTCACATAATCTCTCTCTCTCTCTCTCTCTCTCTCTCCTCCTTCTTCCCCTCCACAGGCATGTTCCAGCTGCTCAAGCCTGTGGTGGTTGAGGTCGACGCCCGCGTCCAGGACGCTTTGCCTCGCAGCAGGCGCTGACACAGCAGATGGACACCCTTGCCCTCGGTACGTGCACTTCCCCCTCTCCCCCTCCCCCTTCCCCTTCCCCTCCATCCTTTTGCACTCGCACGCACACTCACACTCTTCCTATCCTCCTGATCGGCATGAACAGAGCTGGAGAAGCTCGCCAACGCAAGCAACGCGCCGGTCCTCGAGCCGTACGTCCGCAAACTGACCGACTCGCGCAAGCGCATCGGCAACATCAACGGCACTCTGCACAACATCCAGGACAGGCTTGACCGCATGCAGGCCTCGGTCTCCGAGGTCATCAAAGCTCGCCGCTCCTCTATCGGCCAGCGTCCCGACGACGCCCCGGACGCCGCTGAGGCCGCTCCGGCCGCACCGTCTGATGCTGCCGAGCCGGCAACTGAGCCTGCCACAACCGACTCTGCTGATGCCGAGCCTGCTAGTGTCGATGCCGATTCAACCGCTATCGAGCCTGGTGCCGACGATGTGGCCCAGTAAACATGAAGTCATCACCTCCAGCATCCAGCACTCCCTCCCCGTGCCATCGCGCCAGCGGCACCTGCCACCCCACCCCACCACCCCACCCCACCACCACCCACCACCCACACCACACATAGCCATCTCACACTCCACACTCCACACTCCCACTCCCGCTTCATTCTTCTCTCCTCGCTCTCGCCACCGTTTCCTGCCCTCTCTCCCCCTTCGTCCCACTCCGCTTCCCGCCCACCTGCCCTCCCCCCGCCCTCAGCGACTTGGCGCCAAATGGAGGTGACTGCCTCGCTGTCGTCGGCAGACGTCGTCGACCGCGTCTCGCCGGGCGTGGTCGTCCTCACCACTCATGGCTCACCGCGTGTCCAATCCAAGGCCCGCTCGCGTATCGACGGTATGGTTATGCGCTCGCCTGGTATGGGCAGAGCCACAAAAGCCTCCGGGCTCGCTGCCCGCTCTGATCGTCCGCGCCTGGTCTCGGCCGCCGGCTTCAAATCGAACCTCCCGCCAGACTTTCAGCAGCCGCAGCCACGCCCACAGAGCACGCTTGTTGCGCCGCCGCCGCCTCGGGCACGTCGCAAGCTCGCCATCGCCGACGATCGTCAGTCTTCCTCGCCAAAGCGGACACGGCCGGCGTCGGCCGCCGCTCGCCGAGGCGCCCGCCGCTCGGCTTCCCGCGCTCGCAGCCCGACTGGTTCAGCCAAGCGCGTTCGAGCTCGTCGCCCGCGCTCGCCACCACGGATGGTAGAGCCCAAGAGGTATGCCCGTCCGGCTCCGTCGGCCGCTCCGTCGGCCGCTCCTCTTCCCACGCAGGCGCCAGCTCCTCAAATCGAGGTGCAACAGCCGGTCGTTCGCGTCACCCGTGGCGGCAATGCCGGTGCCTCTGCAGGTGCTCGCACTGTGTTTGTCAAGAAGCCCAAGGTCGGCACACCAGCTTCTTCCCCCGCTCTCGATCCGGACTCGCTTGCCGCCACCGACGAGGAGAAGGAGCTTCTGCTCTCGCTTCGCAAGTCCCGGTCCGAGTCACATTCGCAGCGGTTGCCCATCCGCAAGTCGCCCGCAGCCTACCACTCACCATCGCGGATGCGTAGAAGGCCGGCTTCGCCATCGCCTGGCACCAAACGTGCGGCTGCCCTCCGGAGCCAGCTCGATGCCCAGGCAGAGGTGCTGCAGTCGGCTGCCGCCACCTCGTACGAGCTTGCCGCCCGCCAGCTTGCCGAGCTCCGCGAGCTCGCTGCCGAACAGACGGCGTGGCAAACTCAGCACTTTGAGCAAACCCAGAAGCTCTTCGACGCCCAGGCTGAGGCACAAGCTCGCGCCTTTCGCGCCCGCGCCCAGCGTGACGCCATCGCCGCCTCTGCCGCTCCGCCTTCCGTCGCCTCCGCGTCGTCCGGCGGCTACGTCATCGTCCCGCAAGGCCTCACTATTGCCGCTGCTTCGCCTCCGCGGGCGGCCCAGGTTCGGGCTTCGTCACTTCCTGCTCCGGCACCCAGCCCGGGGCCGGCTCCTACCCCGATGTCACCGCCGACACCAAGCCAGACCCCCGCGCGCCGCCGACGATCGCCACCCTCACCTTCGCCCTCGCCCTCGCCTTCGCCTGCGCCTGCGCTCTCAGCCACGCCGTCCCCGAAGCGATACGTTCTCGACAAGGAGCGCACTGCCGATCTGGACGTACTTCTCACACCGGTTGCGGTTCCGCTCGACGCTCGAGCCGCAGACCCGCAGCACGAGGCAGCGGCAGAGCGTGTGTACTCGGCTCTGGGTGGCGAGTACGACTATCTGCGTGCCCGTCGCCAGCTCGCGCTTATGCACGTTGTCCGCTCCAACCTCGACTCGACGGCCGCCGCCGACGCCGTCGTCGCTGACCTTCTATTCGAGCCATCGGCCGCCCTCGATGAGTCATCGCTCGACTACAAGATCTCTGCCACAATTGCCGCCACTATCGCCGCTGCTGAAAAAGAGCTCCGCGATGGAATTGGGCCTGACCCGCTTGCCGCGCTTCCCGACCCGCCGCCGGCTCCTGTCCAGCGCCGCAAAGCGAGAGGCAAGCGCCAGGCTCCCCGCATCCGTCGCGCCCGTTCTGCCCGCGATCGCGACACCAGTCGGGCCGAGACGCGTCCCGCGGATGGGCAGCGCGCCCGCCGCACCCGCACCCGCACCCGGACTCATCCCCGAGCTCGCTCGCGCTCGCCGTCGCCGTCAGCTCCACACCGCCGCCCACACGTGGTCTCGCTGCCAGCCCCAACGCCAGTCCGCAGCGTCCGGGTGCCTGGTGGCCTGCGGCTGAGTGCAAACACTCCATTCCGCCAATCAACCAAGAAGCCTGACCACCTCAACTTTGTGTCGACACCCGCCGCCGCCCCGCCAGCGCCGCCGCGCACGCCGGCGGCCACGCCTGCGCCCTTCGAACCGCCCGCATCACCATCGCGCCGGCCGATCAATATGCCGCACCGCACGTCACGGGCCTTTACCTCGCAGCGAGACCCGTCGCAGCTACCGCCACGGCCGCGCTCTGCTGCCTCGCACGCACGACCGCGGGCTCACTACATCGCTGCGGTCGACACTCTTGGCCTGCCGTCAGACATGCCATTTTCAGGCGAGCTCGCGCCGCACAGCGCCGGCGAGGACCTGGTTGTCATCGATGCACCCGAGTCGGCGCCGGGGCCTGTTGTCCTGCCCGAGGGCGTGCTGCAAACCCGTGCTGCCACCCTTTTCCCCGGCCTGCCAAGATCGACCCGTGCCAGTGGAACATCCGACGCCAACGTGCCGCAGGCCATTCTTGACGCGGTCAAGTCCGCCATTGTATCGCGGATGGCTGGAGCCGCTGCAGGCGCCGCGAGTCGGCCTGGAACAGAGGGAGTGGCGCATAGCGATGCCAACCCCGCATTTTCGTCGGTTCGCAGTGCTGTCCGCTCTAGCCTGCACGACGTCATCGCGTCGCAGCTCCGCTCGATCAGGCGGAAGCCGATGCTGCGGTGGTGGAGCCGGCCGCGACAACTAGCGCCCCTTCGATGGGCGAGTCCGTCGCGGCAAACGCACAGGTGACGGCTCTGGCCACGCTCGCGTCGTCGATTCAGTCGCTGCACGCGTCTGTAGACGCTTCGCGGGCATCGATGGAGGCTGCGTCGCTGCAAATGGCTGCCGCAGCAACGACAACGGCCGCCAATGCAGCACAGGCACAAGCGCAAAGCGCCACGCCGGCAGCGGTTGATGCTGCAGCCATCCGGGCTATCATCTCGGAAGAGGTGGCTGCCGCCCAGGCGTCGCTTGCACGGATGATGGATGAGGTCAAGGCCGAGGCCGCCGCCCTCCGCCAGGCGCAGGAAGAGGCACAGCGGACCGCGAGCCTGCGCGACGAGCTGCGGGAGCATGTCCGATCGGAAGTCCGCGAGAGTGTTCGTGAGGTGGAGACCACCCGCGAGTCGCAAGCCGCCAGCCATCCGCCGTATGTTATGGTTTTGGACCCGGGTCAGCTCCCGTCGGGCTGGCCCGGGGCCCAGGCAGCCGCCAAGCACGAGGCTGCCGCCCAGACTGTGGCCCTCCCGGATCTCGACGCGGAGCTCCATATCGTGGCCTCAGGGTCTCCGGCCAGCGGAGTTGTCGAGAGCTGCCCGTCGCTTCCATCGCCACCATCGCAGTCATCGCATTCATTGTCGGTCCGGTCCCCGTTCCAGCCCGGCGATCCACTCACACCGTCGGGCTCGATGCTCTCGTCGTCGTCGATTGCGGCGTCGTTTGGCGAGGTCTGGCTCGACGCGCACTCGCTCCTCTCGGAAGGCGAGGCGGCGCCGATTCACTTGCCGTCACCGAGTGACTATGCTGCAATTGGATGGCCGCTTCCGGCCGAAGTCTCATTTGGCGAGCTAATGGTTACCCCGCAGTCGGCATCACGCCGCGTGCGCTCGCCCGAAGAGCTGGCTGTCTCGCCGGGCGAGATTGTCGACGGCCCGCGGCTGTATGCAGGCCTTCATCGCGAAGACTCGCCGCTGCGGCTCCGCCGGCCCAATGCGCTTGAGCCCAACGACGCAGACCTACCAGGCGATGCGCCCGACTCGCCGTTCCGCCCGCGGCAGAGCGGCGGTGCCACGCCTGACACTGCGGCCCGGCTCTTCGCAGACGTACCGGCCAGTCCAACGCCCGCGCCGTGTGCCTGGCAGGCCGACAACGAGAGCGACACCGGTCCTGATAGCAGCGGCACCGACGACACCAGCTCTGGCGGCAACAGCCAGTTTGAGAGCTCGTACTCAACCGATCATTGAGTTCGGACGCGCACCACTTGCACTTCTAAACTGGTAGAGACGCGCTAAGAACAACCGAACCGCGTGGCGACGCCGCAGGACTCGCAGCAGGAGTGGCTGCCGGTGTCACAGGGCTTGGAAGCTGCAAAGCGTCCTTGGGCGGGTGATAGTTGTAGACGACGATGCCAAAGATGATGGCAAAGAACGAAAACACAAACATGACCGACGGCGAAAAGGCAAAGAGGAAGATGGCGACCACGAGCCCATACACGTCAGCCGTGAGGAGCGAGAGGTTGAGGAACGTTGCCGACGTCGCCCGGACGAGGACCGGTGCCAGCGAGTAAAAGGTGAAGAGCGCCATCGAGAAGCCGCCAATGAGCAGGACAACCTCGTACCGCCACTCTAGCCGCATTAGCTCGCTCGACTCGAGGAGCGCAACCTGCAGGCCCGAGACAGGGGCGCCAAGCAGGCCAAGCATGCCCAGAAACTCGATGCGCGCGTCGTCGCCCGACTTGACGACAAACTCCTGCGCCACGTTGGAGACGGCATACAGCGTTGCGCCGCCAAGCACCAGCAGATCGCCGTACAGCATGTCGGCTGCCGAGTCAGCCTCGCGGGCAGACTTGGACGAGTAGTCGGCAAGGACAAGGGCAACGATGCCTGCTAGGCACGCCGCCACGCCCGACACGTGCAACCGCCCAAACCGGGTGCCCAGAAACATGGCTGCCAGAGCCATCACCACCGGAATGGTAAAGCAGTCCAGGAGCATGACCGAGGTCAGCGAGGTGTAGTTGTACGCCTTGACCACCAGAAAGTTGGCCTCAACGTCGGCGATGGCGACAAGCAGATAGCCGCCAAGGCGCTTGGGCGATGACAGGACCGGCATGAGGCCGCCACTGCGGGCCAGCGGGATTGCGTAGCTGATGAGCAGCAAATACACCAGCAGCGACTGGGTCGTCGGCACCGACACGCCGTAGAAGGTCGTCAGCGACTGCGAGGTGGCGCCCGTGGCCGTCACCAGCAGAGCCAGCGCCTGGCCCAGCACTAGCGCCACCACAAACGACAGCGGTCGATCCCATCCCGCCGGCGACCATCCACACGCATCAGGCAACCAGCGCATCAACACATGCTCCGCATCGCCGCCACCTCCACCGGCTCCACCGGATCCGCTGCTCGTGCCTATGCTCCCCGCCAGCAGCGGCTGACCAGCACGCTCTCGGTCATCCTCCAGCCGGCTATCCGTATCCACATCCACCATGCTAAACCCACAGACGCCGCTGGTGAGAGGTAGGAGAACACGTTGGAGAGGAGTGGCTGAGTGGTTGAGCGTTGAGCGTGAAGGGGGTGGGGGGGGAGGTGGGGGCGCGAGAGGGTGGGTGTCTGGCTGCGACTCATTGATGGCCGTCGGCCAACCCTCCGCCGTCAGCCGCCGCCAATCACCGCCAGCCACCGCCAGCCACGGCATGGCAGCCGCGTGCTTGGTGGACCACACGCACAGCATGCACTGTACACAGCCGGATCGGAACCGAAGATAATGGAGTGATACGCAGTGTACATCCCCCCCCCTCCCCCTCATCTCTCCCCTTCCGCTGCATGGTTGGAACATTCTTGTCAGGGTGGGCTCCTTCCCTGGTGCTTCCTCGGCTTCGATGTGGCCGCCGAGACAAAAAGGAAGGAGCAAACCTGTTCTGCGGATGCCCAAAGTGTACAGCACTCTTGACACGCATAGTTACATTCCGCAGATTCACGGCTGCACCTTGTTAGAGTACAGGATGAAACGTGCTGTGACTCTATCCCTGGCGCTCTATCCGCTACCTGCAGGCGTTGTCCGCCTCGACTCGTTCCGCCCGGCCGATGGTGTGGCTGGTCTCACTGCTCACCACTTTGATTGCATCACTGGAGACTACGCTGATGTGGCTGAGCTCTGCACAGAGATTTCACAGGTGGTTGACGGCACCCACGATGCGGTCGCCGGCCTCTTGCTGCTGACTGGCCGGGTCGTTGCCAGCCTCGATGAACTGCATGTGGCGGCGGCCGAGGCGGCCGCAGCCGCAGCTGTGGCCAGCGACACGTCGGCGACTGCAACAGATGCTTTGCCGACCAAAGTCAACGTGATTGTGCTTGTCACACCGCTGGAGGAGCGTGAGGCTGCTGCGTCGTCGCACGGCATCCAGCTGACGGCCCATGTGCTTCCTCCGCCGCCACCGACCGACGATGGCTCGGCGCCCTTGGCCGGCGGCTTGCTCGACGTGCGCATCTCGGGCGTTCCGGTCGAGGGCCAGGCATCAGGTGTGATGACCGCCGGATGCAGCTCCACACTTCTTCTGCTGGTGGTGGACCAGTCGGGCTCGATGCGTCCGGCGTGGGCACAAGTCCAGGCCATGCTCAACTCGGTCCTCGCGGCTTCATTCGCCGACCCTAATGTCGCCGTCGAGGTTGTGCTCTACAACCGGCACGCCGGCACGCTCTTTTGCGACGCCTCTAACTACGAGTACAAGATTGCCCGCAAGCGGGCCAACGGTGGCACGTGCTTTGCTGCTATGTTTGAGCACGTCTACGCTGTTGTGCACGGCCGGATGGCGTCCGCGTCACCGCCGCACCGCATCGCCATGATGCTCTTCACCGACGGCGCGCACCAGTCGTGTCGCCAGCCCCGGCCGGTATACGAGGCACTGCGGACATATCTGCACTCGCTTGAGGTCGAGACCCAGGTCCATACCCTTGGCTTTACCTCCAACTCCAAGTTCTCGGAGCTCGACCGGATCCGGTCCGAGCTCGGCACCGCGCCGGGCCAGTACATGTATGCCGAGCCGCTGGACGGCCCGGCTGTGCTCAAGTCCAAGATTGAGGCCTTTTACGGCCATGTGGCCAGCTCGGCGTCGCGGGTCATGCTCACGCTCCAGGTCGGCCTGGTTCCCACCGCGCTGCCGGGAACAGAGCGGTGCGAGGTGACGCTCGCGGCCGGTGTGCCATCGGTTCATGCGGTTGAGGTCGACATCTCGGGCTCGGCGCGCCTGATGCTGCCGATTGAGGCGACACGCCCGCGGGCGTGGCTAGTTCCAACCCCGCTGCGCGTCTCGGCCACGGTTGCGAGTGCGTCGATCGACGCCGAGGTGGCCATCGAGATCCCGATTGCCGCCGACGCCGGCGCCTATGGCGTTCTTGTCGCCTCGCTGCAGCGGAGCCAAGCGAAGCTCGAGACGCTGACCCAGGCAACGGCGGCGCTGACCACCTCCGGTGATGTGGCCGGCACCGACCGCGAGGCTGCGCAGCTGCTGCGGCGGGTGGAGAAGCTCTCCCGCGAGTTTGCGGCAGTCCACACCAACTCTCTGTTCCGAATCGCGCGCGAGCTGCGGCCCTCGGTCCTTGCTCTCCGAAACACCGTGGCCGACACGCTGGCCGGCCTCGAGCGGACGCTGGCCGAGATTCAGGCGCAGCGGATGGCAGTCGGTCGGGCGCGACTGGCTGAGCTGGCGCACGTCACTACGTTTGCTCAGCGCGGGCGCCAGCGGCGGATGACTCGCCGAATCAAGCTCAACACGGCAATGATGGTGCGCGATGCCGCTGCACTTGCGCGGCTTTCGCAGGCCGACGCCGCTGAACTTGCCGCTTCCGCGCCGCCGGACTCGCTTGACCTCTTTGCCTGCACCCTTACGCTGCAGGACTGGACCGAAGTGGCGGAGGACAAGGACGTGCTTGGATTCGGCCTCACGGTGACCCGGCCCGAGTTTGTGGTTGACGACCCTACTCAGATCCGCATCGACGAAGTCACCTCGACGTTTGTCACGCTCTCGGCCATGGAGGATGCGCTCGAGTACGGCGTCAAGATCCACGGCGCCGAGGCGGTGCTTGGCGGGTTTCTCCCGCGCCAGCGGGGCTCTAACTCGGCTACGTCCGCCGCGAGCGCGGCCGGCGCGTCGGCCTCGGCCACAGGAATGTTGGCCGGCCGTGGCCGCGAGCCCATCAACGCCTGGCTTCCGTTGTATCTGACGCCGGAGCACGGCGAGGCTGCCCTGATCAAGCTCAAGCAAGCGTTGGGCTTCTTTGTTACGCTTGATCCTCTCGGCTACCACCCGGCCCAGGTCCATGTCATCTTTCTTGTCCTCGGCACGATGGTGGCTCGGCTGGCGTCGCCGGCTGGCGAGCGCGAGCTGCGGCTGGTTCTCGCGGTGCAACGAACGGCGCGGGCTGTGGCGCTTGACACAGCGGGTCTGTACGACGAGATTCGTACCGCCGTCGCCGGCTTTATCAACTCGGAGCTCGACCGGTCGGTGTGCCAGGTCAAGAATCTGTTTGCGCTCATCGGCTATGTGCTCGTGCTGTCGGACGAGGACTACGCCGAGATCTTCCCGACGCCAGCCGTGTGGAACCGGTTCTGGCTCTCACTTTTGCGGGCAGTGGTCCGGCGCGGTGCGTACACGCTGTTTGCAAACGCGCCGTCGCGGGCGATAGAGCGTCTAGTCGATGGGCTGGTGGATCCACTGGCTACGTACCGCGAGTCTGACGACACCTTTGACGTCGAGGCCGCATGGAAGATGCTGGCGAGCCGCTCCGAGGACGAGCTGGTGGCCCGGGCGCGCTTGCCGCAGCTCTCCGCGCCGTATGCCGAGTCGAATCGGCCAGCGCTGACAGTCCAGTACCTCGACAATCGGCTGAGCACCAAAGACGAGTTGGTTCTGGGTGCTGAGGTCATTGATGAGCTGGTTCTGGACCAGCTCGGCTTTGACGGCACGTCGTACGAGCCGGGGGTGGTCTCGATCGACATGCTCGCGCTCATCGCCAAGTTCTCGGGCGCGCTCGACGGCGTGGCGTCGGGTGGGTACCCGACTGGTGCCGGTCTGCTGCAGACCATTCGCTACGTGACGGCGTGGCGGGCGCTGGTTGATGACGGTGCGGCGCTGGAGGAGATGGACACCCGCGGCGGCCTTGCACCTGAGGCTTGGACCGAGGTGCTGAAGGAGGCGAGCCGGGGAGACGGCAGCACGGGCTGCACGCTCGCCAAGTTTGTGGGCTGCTTGCTGGACCCGGTGGACTCGGCCGAGCCCTCGGCGCCGACTGGGTGCTCGGCAGGCGTGCAGGTCTTGCGCGCGGCGGTGGCGCAGGGCACGATGTTCCGGGTGACTCGCAAGGCGCGAGCCGGGCTGGCCAACGGAACTTACGCGTCGGAGCTTGTCAGCGATGCCGACCGGTCACTGGTGTCACTGGCGTCGACCATGTACGTCATGAAGCGCGGTGCCATCGAGGCCGCGCTGGGCAAGCTGTTTGACGATGTGGTGCGGCAGCGCGGCGTGGCGAGCACCACGACCTTGAAGTCGTTCACGACGTCGCTCGAGGTGCTGCTGGGCTCGCGCACCTTGTGGCGGACCTCGCGGTTCACCAACATGCTGCCAGAGCTGATGGACCGCCTGTGCTATGAAGGCGGCTCCATGGGGCTCGTTGAGGCCAAGATCGCCGTGCTGGAGAAGGTCATTGTGCTGATCTCGGGCAAACTGCTCTCAGTCGAGGAAGGCGCGCGCGACTTTACCATCCTCCCGGTCCTCGACAACGGCGTGTCGTGGAACATCGGCCGCAAGAACAACAACAAGCTGCGGCGCGCCTTTGGAGTTCGGCTCTTGCGGCGCGCCATGCGCAAGGTCTTCCTGCTCGACTTTGCCTTTGGCGTCACTGACGGCGACATCCGCCTGTTCGATGGCACCTGGGACCAGCTCGAGCCGCGACTCCCATGGGAGCTGCGCTCGCATAAGGAGTAGGCAAGGGCACACATAAAAGCTGCGATTCACCAACGGACCTTGTGTGCCCTTTTTTGATGTGAAAAGATTCCGATCGGCGAGTCAAAGCAAGAAGAACATCGCGGCACGTCAGGGACGCGTGTCGGTGACGTTGGCTTTAGTCGCGGTAGCTGTTTGCCGGCAGCAGGTCGGACGGGGGGAGAGCGGGCTCACCAGGAGGGGGCAAGAGCAAGGCACACTTTTCTGCACCAGCCATGTCGGACCCTGCACCTGCTCCGGAAAGCAAGCCGAAGGTCAAGGACGACACCGCCGGGGCCACAGAAGCATCCAACCACATTCAGATCCATGTGGTGTCGCAGGTACGGGTGTATTGAGGGTGGTGGTGTGGACGAGGGGGAGTGGACGAACGGGCTTGTCGCCGTGATGGAGACGAATCTACATGGAGCACCGCAGCAGGGAGGGAGTGTGCCGCAGATGGCTCGCGGTGTGGGGCATAAGGAGATGGATGGGGTTCGTTGGAGGAGAAGGCTGAGGGGAGGGGAGGGGGATACGTGGTGTTTGTGGGGTGGTGCTGGTCACAGCCCCCTCCAGAGCCGAATGCGGATAAGGCGACTTGGCGACCTGGTGGGTCAGTGAAGGGGACGGCGGGGCACTTACAAGCTGGGCAGTCTGGAGATGATGTGTTCTTCAAGATCAAGCGCAACACGCCGCTGAGCAAGCTGATGCGGGCGTACTGCTCGCGAGCGGGAGTCGACATTTCCGCCGTCCGGTTCATGTTTGATGGCAGCCGGGTGCGCGAGGACATGACGGCCGAGCAGCTGGAGATGGAGGACGGTGACGAGATCGACGTCATGGCAGAGCAGGTCGGCGGCCAGTAAGCGAGGACCAGAAGCCCTCGAGGAAGGCGCCGTGCTGTATCGTGCGGTTGCCCTCCGAGGCCGGGAGCCCAGACCCAGGCCCTGGTCCCACCCCCAGCGTAATGAAGAATGACCATACACACACTTGGCTCGAGCCGCCTGGTGGGCTTGGAGGGTGAATAGAGGCATGCGGCAGAGCGGGGCGCCGTGGCTGGTTCTGGTAGTCGTCCGGAGCGGGGGTGGAGCAGGCGGGCGGCTGGCGGACGCGGCGTGCGCGGCCGGGCTGGAGGCAGCCAAGGTGGAGGGGGCCGGGCCGGATGCTGGGCGTGAGTTTGTGCTCCTGGCGCCACCAGCAGACGGCGCAGCACAGGCGGAAGTCCTGGTCCGCGAGGCGAGGGTGCTGGCGCTTGATCTGGACGTGCCAGGGGCAGAGGTGCTGGACGCAAGAGGCGGCCGCGCGCGGGAGTTGATGCTGATGCTGAGGGCAGTGGGCGAGCTGCCGGTCATGGCCGAGCTGCGGGCCGGGCAAGCCGTCGAGGATGTGGTACCGCTCCACGATGGCGAGCGGCCGCAGCCAGTGGCTGTTCTCGATGATGACGCGCTGGACGACATCCGCGAGTACTACGGTGAGGCGCTTGGTTTCTACTTTGGCTGGCTTGGGCATCTCAATGCGTGGCTGGTGCCGCTGGCGTGCCTCGGCTTGGCAGCATGGCTCTGCGATCCAGAGCCGTCGATCCACCACTCGCGGGTCGCGCCTCTGTTTGCGTTTGTAGCCATGGCATGGGGTGTGGCGTTTGTGTCCGGCTGGGGCGTCCGGGCCGGCGATCTGGCTCTGCGGTGGCAGACCCTGTTCCACGTCCCGCGGTCACGCGTCTCGCCGACTTTCATGGGACAGCTGCGGACGTCGCCCGTAACTGGCGAGCAGGAGCTCTACTTTTCGCCGATGCGCAGATTACGGCGACAGACTGTGTCGCTGGTTGTCACCCTTGCCCTTCTGTGTGCTGCGGTGGCGACAATGGTGTGCTCGCTCAATCTGCAGGGCTACGTGGTCGACGCCGAATCGTGGGCGTATGTGCCATGGCTTGCTCGGTTTGCGGCGCCCGGTCGCCTGCTTGATCCTGAAGGCTGGCTGTTCTTTGTCCCTGTTGTCGCCCACTCACTGGTCATCTCGTGGCTCAACAGCGTGTACCGGCGAGTGGCTGGGAGGCTGACCGAGTACGAGAACTACGCCACCGAGGGCGAAGCTGCCAACGCGCTGGTGCTCAAGCGCGTGTTCTTTGAGCTCGCCGACGCCTTTCTCCCGCTTGCCTACATCGCCTTTGTCCGCTTTGATCTCGGAGTTCTGCAAGCCGAGCTTGTGGCGCTGTACCTCTCGGACGAGGCGCGGCGAGTCATCGTAGAGTCCGTTGTCCCCGTGATGTCGACGCGGGTGAGCGAGTGGTGGCTTGGCATCGACGACGATGTCGACGACGACGGCGTGGTGGCTCTCGAGGAGAAACTTGTGGCGCAGTGGCGACTTCCTGTCCACGACGTGTTTGACGACTATCTGGAGATGGTGTTGCAGTACGCGTACGTGCTGTTGTTTGCGACCGCGTTTCCAGCCGCAGGCGCGGTGGCGCTGGCGTCCAACCTAGTCGAGGGTGCATCAGACATATGGAAGCTAGCTCACGCCTACCGGCGGCCTGCCCCACAACTTGCCAGCGGCATCGGTGCGTGGAGCAAGGTGGTGGCGAGCATGGCGTGGCTGGCCATCCCGGTCAACTCACTCCTGATCTGCTTTTTGTCGTCGCAGATTGCGGCGCTCTTTTCGATGCTCTTCCACGTCGAAGAGGGAGTGCTGCGGGAGCAGTACACGTCTGGACGGCTACTCATGCTGCATCTTCTGCTGGTGGAGCATCTCGCGCTCTTGATGGGGCTTGTCCTTTGGTGGCTCCTCCCACGGACGTCTACAGCTGTCGCCGTCGCGCGCGACCGCCGCGAGTGGCTCCAAGAGTGTGCAGTCCGCAAACTCCGGGCGCAGCATTGCGATGTCGCCAATAGCAGAAGCAGCGATGACATACGAGGTGCTGCGCTGGAGCCTGCGGTGCCGTTGACGCCGAGGCGATCGCCGCGACTGCGGCGGCGGCGAGCCAACCAATGAACACTCGTGCGCTGGGAGGGTCAGACTTGTCTGCCGATGCACCCCACGCTGCCATCCCGGATCAGCCCGGTCCGGCTCCCACGGCAGGAAGCCGCCCAGGTCCAGACCCACACCCGCAGGGTGGTTCTTGGCTCCCGGCGGCTCGCGGTAGTGACCAAGACCAAGAGCCCGGCGGGTAAAGTGGCCGCGCCTAGCAACTTGGCGCCGCCCGCTCGTTCCGCCGCACAGTCTCCGCCAGCGGCAGGCGGCCGCTCAAGCCCCAGCTCCGCACAGGTCGGAAGTACACCCCGGCAGCGAAGAGCTTCGCTAGGACAACAACGGCTGTTCCAGGTTGGCGCGCTGGTGGAGGCTGAGACCGTGCGGGAAGCCGCCAAGGCGGCAGCGGCCGAGGTGGGCGCGCTGGCCGCTAAGGCGCTGGCCGCCATCGACGCGGTGGCTGACGCTGGTCTTGCTGCTGCTGACGCCTCGTGCGATGGCGACGCGTTTCGTTGTGCGCTCGACGGCGCGCTGTGCGGCGCACCCGATGTCGCTGACTTGCTGGCTGCGGGTGGATTTGCGGTGGAGGGAGAGGACGATGAGGTCGAGAGGGCGGAAGCGCAGGCCCGCCTTGCGCAGCTGGCCGACGAGCTGGATGCACGGGCGCAGGATGCGATGAAATTGTATGCACCGATGCTGGGGCTTCTTGCGCCGTTGGCACGCGATGTGCTTGAACTTGTGCGTGCCCTGGGGCGCAGATGCAATGCAGCTGTGATGAACAGCGCCGCAGGCTCGCTGCGGCAAGTGGTGGACGGACTGGATCGGTTTGCCATGCTGAAACGGCTGAGCGAGTCGGACGTGGCCGAGGCAGTGATGTCGGCCGAAGCGGTGGCGGGCGCTTGCGACGGGTTCGAGGCCAAGCGGCGTGGCTCGGACTGGGTCCCGGAGCTGATTGGCGAGGAGGCGAAGCTGTACCGCGGCGTAGACCAGGTGCTGGAGGTGTGTGCCGCGCTCGGCGGCGAGGTGGCCAAGTACCAGAATGACCTACAAGCGGCCAAGGAAGCTCTTTCGCTTGCGATGATGGAGGCAAGCGATGCAGGCTCGGAGCGGGAGCAATGCGTAGAGCAGGCGTTTTCGCTGCGGCGAATGGCCAACGCGCTGGAGGCGCAGCCGCCGCAGACGCTTGTTGACGTTCTCGATGCCGAACTTGTGCGCAATGACGCCGCAAGAGCTGTCGGCGCCCAAGCGCTGCGGTCGCTGCAGGACGAGGCGCGGCTGATCGTGGCGCAGCTTGCCGAGCAGCAGGCGTCGATGTGGGAGCTGGCGAAGAAGCGGGCGTTGTTGGAGCGGGCCAAGGCAAGCGCAGCGCGGCGAAGCGACGAGCTGAAGACTGCTGTTGCGACGGCGTTGGCCAAAGCCCAAGACACCGAGGCAAGGCTGAATGCGCGTCTGGCGGTGGCCAGCGCGCTGGCGGAAGCGGCGCCTAAGGTCAAGCGATTGGCGGCGGATGTTGTTGCAGAGACGGAGGCTGTCGGGGCGGAGCAGGCGCGGGCGCTGACGCGTGCGCAGCTGGCGCTTCTTGTCCGCAAGTACCACAAGACAGCACTGGCGGTGTTTGCGTCCAACGCACGAATCGAGCTGCGCCTGCAAGAGCGCGAGGCGCTCCTGCTGCACAAGCAGCGAGCCAACGCGGCGCAAGATGCCGAAGCGGTAGCCGACGCAAGTGTCGGACTCGGGCATATCGACGACCGGGTAGCGCATGAGACCGAGTGCAAGGCAGCGCTCGAGATGGAGCTCGACGCTGTGGCGCGGGCGTGGGCACGCGCCTATCGCGAGCTAGAGGGTCTTGCGCCGGAGCATGCCTCCAGCGCATGTGCGGAAGAGAGAGCGGCGTGGGAAGAGGCGATTGGACGGCTGCAGGCGATTGAGAACGAGTATCTCCACAAGAGTTTCTTGTCGGATATGCTTGATGCCTCGTTGCGGCTGCAAAGTTTCTCGATGACGCCTTGAGAGAGAGAGTGTGTGTGTGCGCATTGAAGTCCGCCTCCATGTGGTTGGAGGCAAGGGTTGGGGTTGGGGTATGAGGGTAACTCTTGTCGATAGACGGATAGCAGTTATGGCAAAGTCCGGGACAGTGGCGACGGTGATGGGGATCAACATGGACCTCAAGTCGCTTGTGAGCGACGCAACGGTATGTGGGAGGGGGGAGGGGGGGGGAGGGAGGGAGGAAGGGGGGGAGAGGGGGGTAGATTGAGTGCGACTTACAGCTGCGCCACTGGGGACGGGAACGGGTGGGGTGGGGACGGGAACGGGGGGATGGGTTCCGGGGGGGTAGGCCAAGGAGCGTGTGCTGGACATGCTTGTGCAGCTGGAGAGCGAGCCTGTGACGGTGGAGGTGCTGAAGAAGACCAAGGTAGGCCACACGGTGAACATGCTGCGCAAGCACGAAGTGCCCGAGGTCCGGACCAAGGCCAAGAGACTCCTGGCTTCGTGGCGGGCGATGTACTCTGGCTCCAAGTCGCCGGCGACGCCGCCGGGGCAAAAGTCGTTCAAGCGCATGGCGCCGCCGGCAAGCGCAAAGGTAGCGGCAGCCAAGCCCGAGGCGGGAGCGGAGGCGAAGCCTGCCAGCAAGGTCCGTGCGGACAACAAGGCGGTGAGCAGCGGGACGTATGCGACAACCGGAGTGCGTGCGCGCGACTTTATGCGCAAGCTCTTCTTTGAGGGACTCGGCAAGACGGCCGAGGGCGGTCAGGAGCGCACGCCAGCGGAGGTGGCGGTGGCGATCGAGGAGGCGATGTTTGCTGCTGAGGGCGAGGACGTGACTGCCGACTACAAGCGACGCGGGCGGGCGATTGCGGCGGTGCTCCGCGACGAGAAGAACCCGCTGCCGCTGCAACTGCTGCAGGGCTCGATGTCGACCGAGATGTTCATGGGCCTCTCGGACGAGGATCTTGTCAACCCGGATGTGCGCGACACGATCAAGGCGGCCAAGATCCAGGGCGACAAGGACATGGCTATGGCCGAGGTGATGGCGGAGACGGACATGTTCAAGTGCGGCAAGTGCAAGGAGCGCAAGTGCACATACTACCAGTTGCAGACGCGGTCTGCGGATGAGCCGATGACGGTCTTTGTCACTTGCACCAACTGCGGGAACAAGTGGCGGTGCTGAGGACGAGGGTGTTACTCGGCATCGTCGGCCTCTGCCGTCGACTTTGCGGTGGCGAGCATGGCATCGAGGGCAGCGTCGACGTCGGCGGCGCCGTCGAGCCAGCCAGCCGGATAGTCGCCCGCAAACTCGGGCGCGAGGTAGCCGCGGTGCTCGTACGACTCGTAGCGGGCGCGAAGGCGCGGCGGCGGGCGGGCGAGGCGCGGCATGACGTCAAAGGTGTGCGGCTTGAGCAGGGCGCGCAGGCCGAGGCGGTTAAAGTAGACAGTCTTGATGGAGCCACCGGCGCGCTCGATGGCCTCGATGGCAGTCGACGAGGCGGCCGAGACTTCGAGCGTGATGGGGAGGCGGAAGGTCTCGGGCGTCTTGCCGGCGAGGAGCTTGATGCCGTCCTTGACCGACGACGCCGAGACGACGCCGGCGTTGACGAGCGAGCGCATGGTGATGGGCGCCGAGGCGTCGAGCCTGCCGTCGGCAACAGCAGTCTGGATGCGGTCGAGGTTGAGTGGGACGTAGGCAAGCGACGAGGCGTTGGTAAAGCCGCGCTTGGGCAGCCGCTTGCGCAGCGGTGTCTGTCCGCCCTCAAACCCTCGGGCGGGCGCTCCGCCCGACCGCGCCTTCTGGCCCTTGTGTCCGCGCGTTGCTGTCTTGCCACGGCCAGAGCCATGCCCACGGCCCACACGCTTGCGCGCCCGCCGCGCGCCGGGGTTGTCTGCCAGCGTATTGAGCTTGACCAGCTCGGCGGCCGGGACCGCCAGCGCCGGGCTGGACGCCAGCGTCCGCACCGCCCGGGCCGCACACAGCTGGGTGGCCAGCAAGCGCAACATATGGAAAGATTTAGAGGTTGGGTGGAGGAAAGGGGGAGGGGGGGAGGGGTGGGAGTGAGGTGAAGATGAGGGTGGGGTGGAGTGGGTGGTGGTGAGAGGAAGAGGGACGGGGGGGTGGGGGTTGAGACTGGGAGTGGTCCTGGGCTGTCGGATGTCGCGCAGGGTGGTGGGCGGGGGAGTTTGGCTGTCGGGCGGCCGGCAGCCGGCGGCCGAAGAGGGGCGCCGGCCTGTCAGTCTCTGGCCACCGCTCTCGGCAACATGTTGGCACCAGTGCGTGCTCCGCAGTCGCGGATTGCCGGCTCTGGCAACGTGCGGACGGTCGGATACAACGGAGAGCTGGCGCAGAAACAGTTTGAGCTTGAGGGCCATGTCACCTTTACCGACATGGACCTGCGTGTCGAGGTAGGCAAGCCGGGGGAAGGGCAGCGGGGGAAGGGTGGTTTTCCCCAGGCTCAGTGGGGGAGGAGAGAGGGTGAAGCTGGAGAGGGATGGGCGGGGTGGGAAGACTAACAAGCGGCGGAGCGGGTTTTGCTGGGCGTGGGGAGGGCAGCTCTACAAGCGCAACCCGCTGGGAGTGGAGGAGCTGGTGTTGGGGCGTGTCGTCCGCGGCGTGAATCCGGCGATGACGGTGAGGGAGCTTTGTCACCGTGTGAACGACGAGCTTAACCACGGCTCGGCAGACTCGACACCGGAGCAGGGCTGGGGCTTGTTCATCCCGTGGGACGCGCAGGCATCGCTCATCAACACTGGTGCGGCGCCGTCGTCGTCGCTGGTCGACGTCGAGTTCAAGTCCCAGTACCTCGAGCTCCATCACGACCTGCATCGATACAACCTGACGGGTGGCATGCGGCTGCACTACAAGCAGCGGCGGCGGACGATCCGGGTCCTGGTCTTTGATGCGGTCAAGCGGGTGCTCATCGACGAGGCGTGGAACGTGCAGAAGATATCCGAAGCGGTGGCGACGGCGGCCGGCGTCCGCAACGTGGCCGAGTACTCGCTCAAGCTCCGCGACGATCCGGAGGAGCCCGAGGCCGGATGGCTCAACGTCAATCTCACGCTTCACGAGCAAAAGGTGCGACTCGACCCATGGGAAGCCAACAATGAGACGCATGTGCCGGATCCACTCATTTTCAAGCAGAAACTCTTCTTTCCGGATGGGGCACGAGGGCACGTGGATGAGGACCTGGCCGACCCGCTGCAGGCGCGGCTGCTGTACCGGCAGTACCGACAGATGGTGTCGACGCGGCAAATGCCGGTGAGCGAGGACGAGGCCGTGGCGCTCGCAGCGTGCATCTTGCAGATCGAGGAGGGCGACTACACCAAGTCCAAAGAGGCGCACGCGGCGCTTGATGGGGCGCTGGCAACCATTGTACCGCCGCCGCATACCGAGGCGAAAAAGATTGACGACGCCGTGGTCAAGGCGTACAAGGCCTTGCGCGGGATGTCTGGCGTGGCAGCGGTGCGAAAGTATGTCGAACTTGTGCGCGGCTCGCCAACCTTTGGGTGGGCGTTTTTCGAGATGCGCGAGCGGATTGTGGCTGGGCGGCGAGCGCGCAACATTCCGCGGCTGCTTGCTGTCGGAGGGAAGGGCATTGCACGAGTGGAGCCCAAGGCAATGCGGTTTCTCATTTCCAACCCGTGGGCCGACTTGACCGAGGCGTACGGCGCACAGGTCGACTCGTTGCCAGGACTCCGCATCGAGTTTGCGTCGGAGCCCTTAGCGCCGTTCCAGTGTGTGCTTGGCAAGCAAGACGAGCAGTATGTGCACGACTTGCTGCGGCTCATTCGCGAGTACTTTGCCTACTTTGCGGCGCACGTGGTGGTTGACACGGGCGAGGAGATGGCGCCGCCGGTGTGGGACGAGGTGCGGCGACCGACAGCCGCGAGTCTCATCTATCCGGCCCGGCCCAAAGGCAAGCAACGCGAGCCGGAACGCAAGCTTGTCAACATGGTGATTTCGGCGAGCGACGCGCCGCCGGCCTCGCCAGCCCAGGTCAAGTCGGCGATGCCCGGCATTGTTGCGGCAGCCAGCGCCGCGCTGCCGTCGACGGCTGATGCGCCGCTCCCGCAGCGTGCAGCTGCTGTGGATGCCGATTTCGAGGACGACGATGCGCGCGAGGCTCGGCTGCTTGCGGTGGCCGACTCGAATGATGCGCTGGTCGATGTCACCGCAGCGGTCAACATTGGGTTGGCCAACCTGGTGCTGGCTGCCGGCGGTGGCGAGCCGTCGCTGGTCGACTCGTCGCTTCTGCTTGCCGCAGCACAGTCGGTTGCTGACGCGTTGGGCGAGATGCGTGGGACGGTGGACAAGGGCGCTGAGCTGGCGTCGGATCCGATCGATGCGGCTGCCCTGGGCAATGCGTACAATACGGTCTCGTCCGGCGCGCTGACCATGCTCGGCGCGGCAGGAGCCGTGCTCGGGCCCAGCGGAACGATTGACACGCTCGCTCTCGACTCGCTGCTTGGAGCTGCCAGCAATGTCTCGGGAGCGCTCGCAGCCATGCTTGGCGCGGCAGGCGTTGGCGCACCGGCAAGCCGGGCGGGCGACTCGCTGCTCGAGCTGACGGCGAGGATGGCCAACGTCGAGGCGCCGGCGTTTGCAGTGAGCATGGACGGCAAGCACTTTTCAGAGCTGCCTGTGGTGACCACCCACAAGCTTCACGCGCAGGCGGCCAGTCTCCCAAAGGCCACGGCACGTTTTTACGCGCAGCTCCAGCTCCTGCTGCCGTCGATCAAGGTCGATGCGGCCGCGGCGAGTCTGCTGGCCCAGGCGCGAATGATGGCGACAATGGTAGAGAGTGCGACGGTGGCTGTGCCGATCGACGAGAACGAGCCGTACGCTGCCGGCTCTACGCTTCGCACCACCATGCAGGCTGTGCTGGCGGGACTTGAGGCTCTTGTCACTGTACCCATAGTTGACGACGCGGTGGCCGAGGCAGCGAGTGCTATTGACGCGTCTCTGAGCAAGATTCTGGAGCACGCCGATGAGCCTGCGACGGTGCGGGCGCTGGTGAACGGCGTAGGGATGCGGGTGGCGAGCCTGTGCGAACTCGCTTCGCTCGAGGCCGGTGCTTTTGGCATGGGCGGCTCGTACGACTCGCTGCTAGCGGCGTCGCAGGACGTGGCTGACGCTCTGGCCAAGCTCAAGGGCGCCTCGCGGGCGCTTTCTGCGACAGACGGATCGGATGAGGCGCGCGAATCGCTGGAGTGCGCAGTGGCCGGTGTCCAAGATGCGCGGGGCGCGTTTGTCGCTGAGCGAACTCAGCTAGAGGTCATGCGCGAGGTGGTTGCCCTCGTCGAGAATGTGCAGGACAAGCTGGCAGTGACTGTGGCGCGACTTACGCCTGTAAGCGCTAGCATGGAGGAAGGGCGGGCAAAGGAAAAGAGCTCACGGGCGCTGGCTGACGCGCAACGGACGACCGACTCGCTTCACCGAGCCATGCGTGTGTACGCCGCGGCGCCAGCGGAGCTAGCGTCGCAGGACAAGTTTCTCCAGGCGGCACGCAAGGCGGTGGACAAGTCACACCGGCTGGCAACCGCAGCCAAGACGAGCGAAGACGAGGGCGCGGAAGCGGCAGGCGGCGCGTTGGCCGAGTCGGTCGACGCGCTCGAGGCCGGAACGCAAAAGGCGAGCGTGGTCTGTTGGCCGATTGACCTCAACTACGCACTAGAGCTCATTCGCGGGGCGCTGCGGCGGCTGGCAGCTGAGTCGGCGGCGGCGGCGGAAGGAAAGCTGGTGCGCGGGAGCGATGTCGACGACCGCGACGCGAGCGCGCTGCAGCGGCAAGATGCGCTGGTGGCGTCGGTGAGCGCGGTGCCGCCGGTAGGCGAAGCGCTTGTCGAGTCGGCGCTGACCAAGACGGCACCGGAAATGTCACAGGTGGCCAAGGACGTGGCGGCGGAGATTGTGCACGCGTCCGACTCGGCGTCGGCGCTCGCCCAGGTGGTCGAGGCAGCCGAGGACCAGCACACACTGCTGGAGGCAGCGGTGGCGGTTTGCCACGAAGGCGCAGCGCTCATTTCCAAAGCACGCGAGGCGCGGCGGCGGCCCAACGACGCGACCCAAGAATTTATCCTGATGCATGGCAACGAGCTGCTCCGCGAAGCACTTCACAAGCTCGAGTTGGCGATGCCCGGAGCAGGCGACTGCGCATCGGGTGTGGAGGCGATGGCAGCAGCGCTGGAGAAGATCAATGCGGAGGCTGTGCCGTCGGGCCTGGACGACTTGCTTGCGGTGACACAGATGCTCGCAGGTGCGATGGAGGTGCTGTCGTCCGGAAGCAGCGGAGCGGTGCCAGACGCGATGCTGAGCGGGGTGCCAGACTCTAGCGACCTGGTGGCGCATGGCGACCCGACGCACGGCTTCAAAAACGACGTTGTGTCTGCAGGGCGGGCACTGTGCTCGGCGATGGGCAAGCTGGAGACCGCGGCGGCGAGCTCGCCGCGAGACCTTGCGCTTGTGGCGCGGCGAGTGACGTCGATCGGCCAGCTGCTGACCGAGGTCGTGACTGGGGCGGCGGCATCAGACGAGTTCAAGGCTGCCAAGGCCGACCTACTTGTCCCGCTGGAAGCGGTGATCGAAGCGGTGAGCAGCGGGCTGGCGGCGGCGGGCGAGCTCGCCAAGTCGACCGAGCCGAACCCGCGGGCCTCGGGAGTGCTGCAGAGCTCTGAGGTTCCGGCAGCAGTCAAGACGCTCAACAAGGCCATTGACTCTGTGGTCAATCCGTCCAAGTCGACGCAAGCCAAGGAGTTCAAGGCTGCTGTGAGCGCGATCCTGAAGGCCCTGCCGGGTCTGGAACCAGCCCATCTCCCACCAGCGTCGCAGTACCCGATCCACGGCCTGCAAGAGGACTTGCTTCATGCTGCAGACCTGCTCTCGCTCTCGTTGCACAAGCTGTCCGATGTTGCGGCGACGCGGCCCAACTCGGCGTCGAAGCAGGCCAAGGCGACGGCGACGCTTGCGGCGCGGTTGGTGGGCAAGGCTGCCGTGGCGGGAGCGACGGTGCAGGCGAGCGGGCGATCGGTGCAGACGAACGAGGCGGGCAGAGCCGGGAGCAAGGTCGAGACGAGCGAGTCACGCAAAGCGAGCAACACAACGGCATATGACGAGCTGCAAGACGAGCTCAAGGCTGTGATGAAGGCGCTGGCATCGTTGCTGCGAGCCAAGCCCTCGTCAAAGAAGAAGTTCAAGGGCGCGTACACAAAGGTTGTGCTTGCGGTCCGCGACCTGCTTGTGGCGGCCAAGGAGGTGTACAAGAGTTTGGCAGACGCCGAGGCCGACAAAGACGCGCTCAAGAGCCTCGGGTCGAAGATCAAGTCTGCAGCCACAAAGCTGGCCAAGGCGGCGGATGCAAACGCGAGTGCGCCAGACGACAGTAGTGTGCACAAGAAGTTCCTCTCGGCCGCCAAGTCGTTTGCATCTGCGCTCAAGACGTACGAGAGTGCAACCAAGAGCGCTGCGCTAGGGGCCGGGCTTTTGGGTGGTGGGTCTTTGGCGGGGCCAAGCGGAGCCCCAGGCGGCGATGGCGGCTCGCTTGTGGATGAGCTCCTGGGCGGGGCTGCAGCCGTGGGCAACGCTGTCAACACGCTCATTGCGGCGTCGAAGCTTGTGTCAAGCGATGTGACGTCTGCCAAGGCGCAGTCCAAGATGGACAAGAAGCTTAAGAGCGCGCTGGAGGCCCTGGGCGTGCTGCAGCAGCACGCCAGACTCATCACGCCCGGGCAGAAGGAGTGCGCTGATGGGGCCGAAGCTGCTGTGCGGGTGGCGCAGGAGCTGGGCAAGGCTGCGCTTGAGGTTGGCGTATCGCGACCCAAGGCGGGAGCGGGAAGGCAGTACGGGACCAAGGCGGCTGCGCTGAGTGGGGCGCTGAGTGGCGTGGAAGCCGGGCTGCAGGCGCTGGGCGAGGCTGCGGTGAGCTCTGCCGATGCACTCGTTCGAGCTGCCGCGGAGCTTGCGGCAGCGCTGGGTAACTTGCCGGGCAAGCTGCGCGGAGCAGCCGAGGCGGCGGCCCAGCCTGCACTGGGAGCGCGTATTCTGCGGAGTGGAGCAGGCGTCGCTGAGGCTGCCATGGTGCTGTTTGAAAGCGCAAGCGAGGCCGGCGGTGACCCCAAGCACGCGGGCCGGATAAGGCCGGTAGTGGCGCATGCACTCGAGGCTGTCCGTGCCGTGACAGCAGTGGTGAAGGCGGAAGAGGCTGCTGGCGAGGCCGGGCGAGCTGCCGAGGCGCAGGTGGAGGCTGCGCTTGCACGGCTGCGGGAGGGTGCGGCGGCGCCCGAGGCTGCGGCAGCGTCACTAGTTGACGGACTCAAGTACGGTGACTACCAAAAGGCGGTCAAGACACGGCTCCTGGAGCTTGTGCGCGGAGCGTCCGAGGTGATGGATGCTGCGCAGACGGCACCAGAGACGGTGACGAGCGCGGTGCTGGTGGTGACCGAGGCGCTGCCAGGCGTGGTTGCGGCGGTGCTGGGATGCATGGCACTGACGGGCGAGGACGAGGCACGGCAAGCGCTGCTTGCTGCCGGCGAGGCAATGGCTGCTGCGATTGCACAGTTGGCGACGGGAGCGAGCAGCGTGCTTATGGGCTCGCCTACTGGGTTGAGCGCGGTCTCCAGCGGGTCGCAGCAGCTGTCGGAGGCGCTGACGCAGGTTCTGGGAGCAGCTGCGCGCGGCGCGACCGGCAAGCGGATGCTAGAGGGCGCGGTGTCTGCCATGAGCCAGACACTCGGTGAGCTGGAGACGATCAAGTTCCTGGTGGGAGCGCAAGAGCTGCCCAATGAGGCCAACGCCGAATTTGGCGAGCTAGTGGGCTCACTCCGGAGCGCCGCGAGCGAACTCGTCGAGCTTGTCGAGTCCAGCGTCGGGGCTGAAGGGAGCATCGAGCTGAGTGCAGAAGAGCGCGGTGCGTTTGCCATGGAAGCCGCCGAGGCAGCGGCCAAGGTTGTGGAGCTTGCCGAGCTGGGAGCTGCTGCGCTTGACGAGGCTGTGGACCAGATGGCGCTGCTTAATGCTGCCGGCAACCTTGCGTGTGCGCTCAAGTCGCTGGTGGTGGAGAGCGGAGGGCTGAGTGGGCTGCAGAGTGCGGCAGCCGCGTTTGGCGGTGCTGTGGATGCGGCGGCGGCGGCGGACAAGCGGGTGCAGGCGACGATTGACCAGGTGTGCGACAAGGTGATGGCGAGTGCGGCGGCGGCTGAGGCGCTGCAGAAAAGCGGCAAGGGCGGGACGGGAACAGGCTCGTCGCCATCGCGGGCCGAGGTTAGCGCTGTGGAGAGCGCGGCCAAGGGCGTGCTGTTGTTCTCGCAGCGGCTGCTGTTTGCGGCGGGCCGAGGCAAGCATGCCTTCCTAGAGCTGGCGGAGGAGGTTCCTGCGGCGCTCGAGACGCTTGTCAAGGCGCTCAGTCGCGCACTCGGTGGCGGCGAGCGAATGGGCGTTCCCGGTGCCGATGCAGTGGCCGAGGGCGGCGCGAACCTGGGTCCCTGCCTCGTGGAGCAGCTGCAGGCGTTTGGACTCTCAGGCGATGTGATGTCGGAGGCGGCCAAGGGAGTGAGCACTGGCGTGACGACAGTGCTCACCGGTCTGGGGCGGCTCAAGTCTGTGGAGGCCGGGCTGGATCCGCTTGTTGCTTTCGAGCACGAGATGGCGCAAGTGACAGCCGACATCAACGCGATGAAGTCGTCGCTGGCAGAGCTGGCACAGCTTGCGGCGTCTGTTGCCGGGGCCAAGGCGGATGCAGCTCACGACGCGTTTGTGGCGCTTGTGATCAAGGCTTCGCAGGAGATTGTGTCTGCCGGAGTGGTGCTCGTGGAAGTGGCGATTGCGGCGCACAAGGGCGCGCAGGCTGCGGACCACGAGGACATGGTGCTTGCTGCGCGTGCTGTGGCAGCGGCGACTGGCGAGCTCGTCGCAGCGGCACGGTTCTTTATTCAGGGTGAGGCGCGAGTGGAGGCGCTGGAGCGGGCCGCCAGCAGCGTTGCCGATGCCATCCATGAGCTGGTGGAGGTTGTGTCGGGTGGCGCCGAGACCGAGGCGTTCAAGCGGCTGCGCGGAGCAGCGGCAGGGGTGGAGAGCTCGTGCAAGTCGCTCGCTGCCGCGGCGACATCGTTTGCCAAGCCAGCAGTGCGGCCGACGGCCGCATCAGGCGCCGGTGGGCCAGGCGCAGTCGGAAGCGGCGCAACCGCCGATAGTATCAAGGAGATGATCCGGCGGCGGGCCGAGATGGAGAAGCTGCAGCGGAACTTGGCCAAGCTCAAGGCGCCGTAAAGGCTGGTGAGAGAGTGGGAGGGGAAGGAAGAGGGGGAGGGGGGGGAGGAAAGATGAGCACACTCGGGCCGGTGTGTTACTTCAGTGTATGCGTGGCGTAGGCGAGCGAGGGGGTGCGGGGATGCGCAGCGCCGTGTTGCTGCCGCCTGCGAGAGGTCAGGGCGCAGTGGCGAGGGCGCTCAGTTGCCGCGCGGGTCATTGACGCGCATGTACGGGAACGGCTTCGACTTGTTGAAGCAGTTGTCCGGGTGCGAGGTGGCGTAGTAGGTGAGCATACCACCGGCAGCGCCGAGGCCGCCGGCAATGACGGCAAAGATGGGGTAAGCCTGTGGTGGAGAGGGTGGGGCGGGTGTTGGGTGAGGCGGTGCGGCAAAAACTTAGCATCCATGGGGCTTACGGCGAAGGGGAGGGGGAAGGGTAGCGGAAGGGGAGGGAGGAGATAGGGGAAGCGGGGGCGTACCTCGGGCTTGAGCCAGGCAGCACGAATCTTTCCGGACATGTTGGTTGTGTGTGTAGAGGAGTGGCGGAGGCGGAGGGGGTGCCGGGGGGGGGAGGGGGGGGGGGGAAGGAGGGGAGGGGAAGGGGACGTCTCGAGTGTTCGTGGCGTTTTAAAGGGGGGATTCGTGGCCGATGGGGAGGGGCTGGGGCTGGGGGGGCTGGGGGGGGGGGGGACAAGATAGGAAGATGGTCAGACGGTGACCGGCGTCGGAGTCGGGGTCGAAGATAGTTGGATCGGAGTTGGACTGGGGTTGGATCGAGCTGCTGCCATCAGCGGCGGCGGCGGTCGCCCTTGACGCGGTAGCCGGCTTCACGCTTCTGCTGTTCGAGAACGCCGGCCCAGGCTTGTTGCTTGGCCTTGGGCAGCGAGACGATGACGACGCGGACGTCAGGGCGAGCGTCGGCAAAGGCCTCGATCATGGCGAGGTAGTCGGGCCAGTGGCCGCCGGCGATGCCGCAGCCGATGTTGTGCGGAAAGGCAATCGAGGTGAGGTCGTCGAGGGCGGCGATGGCGGACAGACCAAGAGCAAAGTACTCTGCGCGGGCCTCACGCTGGCCCTTGCGCTTGCATGGCCCGCCGGCGTCCTGGCCCATGAGGTTGATGACGCCGCGGTTGTCAGGGCCCGGCCCGTGTCCGCGGACCTCGATCGTGCCCGGCACCGAGTACTGAGTGCCCTTGACAAACGGCCTGCGCTCTGCGTACACGTTGGCGTGCGGGAAGCGCTCGAACAGGATCTTGGCCAGGCCCAGGCCCTTGCCGGACCTGCAATTGGTCTCTGTGCAGTAAAGGAAGCGGAGAGGGGGGAGGTGAGGGCAATGGAAGGACAGCCTGAAAGGGAAGAAGGGAGGAAGGCGAAGGAGAGGGAGGGAAGGAGGGGAGGAGCGTACGATGGCAGATGTACTGGGTGTCTATGGTGAGAAGGTCGCCCTCAACGTGCTCGACACGTGACGATGCGGCCATGGAGTAGGAGAGGAGAGGGGTGGGGGTGGGTAGGCGGGGTAGGTGGGTGGGGTGGGTGGGGGCCGGGCGGTGGAGAGCCAGCTTGACGCTATCGACAATGTGTTGAAAGTACAAGTGGGCGGCGGGCGGATAGCCAATGCAAGCGGGAGGCCAGCGGCGAGCAGGCGGCAAGAAGCATTGGTAGATGGGCGTCCAAGGCGAGGACGGCGGAGAGAGCGAGTCACCAGTCGTCGTCGTCGTGGGTCCGGCGCGCAAAGGTGATTTTGGAGCGCGGAGCGGCACCCTGGGCCTCGAGCACGTCCTTGAGGCGCGAGTCGTTAACCTTGGCATCGAGCTGGCCGTTGGCGGCGAGCTGGAGGAAGTGGTCCTCGGCGGCGGCGGCGCGGGCCTCGTTGACGAGGCGGACCGTGGCCAGGCGCTCGCGCGCCTCGGGCGTCATGATGCGGACGAGCATCTGCTCGCGGCGGGCCATGGCTTCGGCCTGGGCCTCGGCTTGGGCGCGGGCCTGCTGGGCCTGCTGCTGAAAGGCGGCGTCGTCCATTACGGGTGTGTGCGGAGCAAGGAGTGCGCGAGTTGAGTGCGCAAGGGTTTGCGGAGAAGGGTCTCGCGCCGACAGCAGGGTAGGTCGCGGTCGCGCCGGCCCTCACTCGCCGCCCGCCCGTCGGCCCGCCAGCCGCCCACCGCTGGCCCCGAGCCAAGCGGGCCAGTGCTCCTACCCCGACTCGTCGGTATCGGGCGACGAATTCTGGCTCATCGCACCGACTCGACTCGCAGACTGACAGACCATGGTACGCAGGCAGCGCAGAGGGCAGGAGGGGCGGAGAAAGGCGGAGAGGGGCGGGTGTATCCAGAGGGGCTGCACCAGGTACTCACAGGAGACGTTGGACGCCGGGGGGTTGGTGTGGGGGGGTGCGGCGGTGCGCCTGGCTATTTTTTTGCCTCGCTCGCCTTCGCCTGAAACGACTTGCGACGGCCCACTCTGCAGACGTCGACGCTCAAGCCGTACCTGGACGCCGTCAAGACCACGCTCGAGGCTGCGCTCTGCCTGGACAACTTTGCGTCGCAGCGTGTGGAGCGCCACAACAAGCCTGAGATTGAGGCCAAGTACGTTGAAGGGGGGGGGGCTGGTGGGGGAAGGGGTGGGCAGAGGGGGGAGGGGGGGAGGAAGAGGGAGACGAGGGAGACGAAGGAGAAGACACGACTCACGGGTGTATGTGTGTGTGACTTGTGCGTGGCTTGTGCCTGTGGTGCGTAACAACAACGACGACAACAACAGCACGTCTGCCGAGGTTGTGCTCAACCCGCTGGTGGTGTCGCGCAACGAGAACGAGAAGGTGCTCATTGAGGCATCGATCAACTCGGTGCGGATCTCGATTTGCATCAAGCAGGCCGATGATGTGGAAGTTATTCTGTGCAAGAAGTTCATGCGGTTCCTCATGCAGCGTGCCGAGAACTTTGTGGTCCTGCGGCGCAAGGCCATCGAGGGCTACGACATCTCGTTCCTCATCACAAACTTCCACTGCGAGGACATGTACAAGCACAAGGTGGTCGACTTTATCATCCAGTTTATGGAGGACATTGACAAGGAGATCTCGGACATGCGTCTCAAGCTTAACGCCCGCGCGCGTACCTGCGCCGAGCAGTTCCTCAAGTCCTTTGTGTAATGAGGTTGCAGCCGTGTGCACTGCGCCGGCTTCCGATGCCGAGTGCGTGCGTGCAAGTCATGACCATAGCTGCTGTCACCGCACTTTGACCAGTAGAGCAGCAAATTGAACTCTCCGTCCCTTGGCTATGTGGCCGATGTGTGTTGTCTGCGTGGAGAGGCGCGGCGGGCGACCGAGGCAAACGAAGACAACGATGCGGCTCGGGCGGCGGCGACGTCGACGACCAGGCCATGGGAGAGAGTCGGCTTTCGCTTGGCGACAGACACATGGCTATGTGGCCGATGTGTGTTGTCTGCGTGGAGAGGCGCGGCGGGCGACCGAGGCAAACGAAGACAACGATGCGGCTCGGGCGGCGGCGACGTCGACGACCAGGCCATGGGAGAGAGTCGGCTTTCGCTTGGCGACAGACACATGGCTATGTGGCCGATGTGTGTTGTCTGTGTGGAGAGGCGCGGCGGGCGACCGAGGCAAACGAAGACGACGATGCGGCTCGGGCGGCGGCGACGTCGACGACCAGGCCATGGGAGAGAGTCGGCTTTCGCTTGGCAACAGGCGCATGTGGAGGGGGACTACCCGCTGTCCGTTTGCGTGCAGTTGCAAGCTGGGCCCGGAGATCCTTGTTCTCGTTCAGCAGCCGCGAGTTCTGATCCGCTAGCCGCGCGTTCTCGGCCTTGAGACGGGCGATGGTGTTTGCTGCATCGACTTCGGAGCCGCCACTGGCAAAGGACGCTATTGGGACGCCCAACTGCGGCGTCGCCATCAAGGCAGAAATATCCGGCGTCTTGAGCGAGAAGAGCGATGGGGTGAGCAGCGACGGCGAGAACATCTTGGTCTGGCCGGATGCCGGTGCCGATGGGCCAAACGACATGTACACGGGAGGCGAAGAGAACGACGAGACCGTGGCCCCGCTCAGCAGCGACACCGGCGCCGGCGGTGCGGCAGTCTCCAGGTCCGGGGGAGGCCAGACGCGACGGATGACGCCGACGGCCGGAGCCAGTGGCAAACACTGAGCCGTCTCCTTGCTCTTGCTCTTGCTCTTGCTCTTACTCTTTGACGGCGCAGTCTTGCGCTTGATGCCTTCGATGAGGGCGGGATGGTCACGGAGGAAGAGCGGGTGGGCAAAGGTGTTGTACAGCGGGTCGTCGCGGCGCTCAAAGTCGTACATGTGCAGCTGGCGGACAAACGAGGTGTACTTGGAGTGCGAGAAGAAGCGCGGGATGACTTCCTTGGCGAGCGCGTTCTTGTCATAGATGGTAAACGCTGTACCGTCGCTTGACCATTGGATGTGCTGCGGCGGGGATGGCTCATGTGAGGAGGAGGGGAAGATAAAGGCGAGGGGAGGGGGGCGGGGCACGGTGAGCTGCCTACCTGGTTGCTATCATTGACCATGTTCCACACTGCCTCGACAAACCGCGGCGTGCGGCCGCGTACAGACGCCATGAAGACGGGAAAGGGGAGAGGGAAGGGGACGAGGCCGCTTCTTCCGGGATGCGGCGTGCAGGCACTGCAGGAGGGAAGAGGAGCGTGGTAAGGCCAGTGGAAGTTTGGCGGGGTGGACGTGCGTTTGCTGCGGATCGATCGACAGCGACGGCTGTCTGCAGCAGCTGCAGCCGAGCAGGCGGTGGCAGCAGGGGCAGCGGCGGCAACGGCTGGACGAGAACTACCAGTGCCCCCGCCACACTTGACCACAACACACCATGGACACGTCGACCGTTCCGCTCTACGATCCCTCGACCATGGAGCCGCTCGGCCCGGGCTCGCTGCCGTCGACGACACAGGAAGGGGTAGGTCGGCAGCCGCGGTGGTGAGGTGGCATCCACGGGCTGTGGCGGGCGCTGCGGCAAAGACGGGAGGCGGGCAGGTCGGGGAGGTGGAGAGGACTGCGGGAGGAGCAGGGAGAGGCACGACTGACGGCGAGCGTATGCGGGGTGCGGTGGGGGCGGGGGGACGCAGATTCTGGAGGCTGTGTCCAAGGCACGGGCTGCGCAGGTGGCCTGGGGCAAGTCGTCGTTTGCGACGCGCAACCGTGTGCTCAAGCGGATGCAGCAGTTCATTGTGGAGCACCAGACGGAGATCTGCGAGCTGTCGATGCTAGACTCGGGCAAAACGATGATGGACGCGCACTACGGCGAGCTCTTCCCTGTGCTGGAGAAGATCCGGTTCCTCGCGGAGCACGGCGAAGCGACGCTGGCGACCGAGTCGCGGCCTGTGGGCTCGCTCCTCCAAAAGGTGGCACAGGTTGAGTACTCCCCGCTGGGGGTGTGCGGCATCATTGCGCCATTCAACTGGCCGTTTCACAACATCATGTGCCCGCTGCTTCCGGTCCTCTACGCCGGCAACGGAGCAGTGATCAAGGTCTCCGAGTGGACCTCGTACTCAACCGAGTACTACGCGGCCATGGTGCGCGATGCCCTCGAGGCCGAGGGCTTCTCGGGCGACCTTGTGCAGTTTGTCCTCGGATGGGGCGACGTTGGCGCCGGCCTGGTCACGTCGGGAGTCGACAAGATCTTCTTCACTGGCTCGCCACAGAACGGACGCAAGGTGATGGCGGCGGCGTCGGAGACGCTCACGCCTGTGGTGCTCGAGCTCGGCGGCAAGGATCCGATGATTGTGACGGACGATGCCGACTTTGAGCATGCGGTCTCGCAAGCCATGCTTGGCGTCTTTACCTCTTGCGGGCAGATGTGCGTGGGCGCGGAGCGGATCTTTGTCCACGCCTCGATCCACGACAAGTTTGTCAACGCGGTGGTGGACAAGCTCAAGCGGTCGTCGCAGGGCCCGCCCATCGAGGGCTGCCACGATATTGGCTCGACTACCATGCCGCGGCAGCTCGACATCATCGAGGATCTGGTCAACGACGCCCTCGCCCGTGGTGCAACCGCCGTTGTCGGTGGCAAGCGCAACACCAAGTACAAGGGCCAGTTCTGGGAGCCGACCGTTCTCATCAACGTCACCCCCGACATGCGCATCATGCAGGAGGAGCACTTTGGCCCTGTCATGGTCATCATGGCGTGGCAGACCGACGACGAGGTCATCGCCCTCGCCAACGACTGCCCGTACGGTCTCGGCGCCTCGGTTTTCTCGTCCGACCCCAAGCGCGCCCGCAAGCTCGCCGACGCTATCGTCTCGGGCATGGTCGCCATCAACGACTACGGCATCACATACGTCTGCCAGTCGTTGCCATTTGGCGGGACCAAGATCTCGGGCGTCGGCCGCATCAATGGTCCCGAGGGCCTTAAGGCCTGCGCCCACGTCAAGGCTGTTCTCGAGGACCGCTTCCCGTTCTCCATCAAGCTCCCTGCCGTCTGGCAGTACCCGGTCAACCAGAACGACGGTGTGGCCTTTGCCCAGAACGTCATCCGCATGATGTACGGTGACGGCGCCTTTGACAAGGCCAAGGCGGCCATCTCTATGGTTCCGATGCTTTCCAAGCTGTAAAAGTCCGAGTTGCGTGAGCGGTGGGAATGATTGGCGCTGTTCATGGCTCTCGCCTGGGTAGCGTTTCACGCATTTGCTCGCGATCTGACGCGTTGGCAAGCAAGCCACTCTCACGACGATGTACACTACTTGATGCCGTACGTGACTATTACAAGGACAACCTCGTAGCCGTTGTTCGCCGCCCGTAGAAGGCGATCTCTGTGAGCGACTGTTGCGAGAGCTAAGTGGCCCCTTACCAATTCAAAACTATATACTTATATAAACTTATTTACATAAAAACATGAATATATTTTTGATGTCAAAAAAATACAAATTGTAGTCCGTATTGTGCGGTGGGAGTGATTGGCGCTGTTCATGGCTCTCGCCTGGGTAGCGTTTCACGCATTTGCTCGCGATCTGACGCGTTGGCAAGCAAGCCACTCTCACGACGATGTACACTACTTGATGCCGTACGTGACTATTACAAGGACAACCTCGTAGCCGTTGTTCGCTGCCCGTAGAAGGCGATCTCTGTGAGCGACTGTTGCGAGAGCTAAGTGACCCCTTACCAATTCAAAACTATATACTTATATAAACTTATTTACATAAAAACATGAATATATTTTTGATGTCAAAAAAATACAAATTGTAGTCCGTATTGTCGTAAGTATTATATAAATGTATTATTTTTGACAGTTGAGGACTGATTTTTGAGGCTTTTATATGTATAGGATTGTCACCCAGTCACCTCTGGGGACCGAAGCCATCGCATGAATATATTTTTGATGTCAAAAAAATACAAATTGTAGTCCGTATTGTCGTAAGTATTATATAAATGTATTATTTTTGACATTTGAGGACTGATTTTTGAGGCTTTTATATGTATAGGATAGTCACCCAGTCACCTATCTGGACTGAACAAAGTGGCGAGACGTGGAATCAGTGGTAGCAAGCTTTCCAACCCTAGCCTACAATAATAGTGCACAGCAATATCTATCTGTGGTTGTGGCTGGCTAGCTTTGGCTACCCTTTCATCGCAAGACAAGCTACAGAATCCGATTTTGATCATCGATGCAATGACCTGTGCGTCTCGTGCGGCTCGCCGCTACAAGTCGTAAGCTATGCTAACGTCCGGTCATCATCGACTCGTCACCTCACACCTCACCACCGACCACTCGACTCTCTTCTCCTCCCACCCCCACCCCCCCTAAACACACACACACACACACACACACACACACACACCAATCGACATGGCCAAGTCTTCCAAGCCCTCCAAGTCCTCCAAGTCCAAGTCCTCCAGGTCCAAGTCCTCCAGGTCCTCCAAGGCCAAGGGTGACGAGGGCCAGCGTACGTCGTGCCCGAAAAAGGTCGTGTTTCTTGCTCCCCCTCCCCCCCCCCCCCCCCCCCCTTCCCGTTGCATACTCACCGTCCACACGCACCACCACACAGTCCGGAAGGCCATGATTGAGTACTTTACACGGGTAAGTTTGGTGTTGCATGAGAGCGAGCGAGTGTGTGTGTGTGTGCAAGCGGGGAGCAAGACGAGAGCGACTCACGCCCCACCAGGAGAATCGGCCGTTCAACAACACCAACCTGGTGGACGGCCTCGCCGGCATGTTCACCCGCACAGCTGTTGTCAAGATGATGGACGTTCTCGCAGACGAAGGCGTGTTGACCAAGAAGATGTACAAGAAGCAGAAGATCTATGTCATCTCGCAGGACAATCTGCCTCAGCTGTCCGAGGAGGAGCTCGCCGAGGTCGACGCCAGCATCGCGGAACTCCAGGCCGAGGTGGAGGATCTCGACTCAGCCCTGGTCAACCTCGCCGGACGTAACAAGGCACTCGAAGCGATGCCGACCAACGAGGCGCTCCAAGCTGAGCTCAGTGCGCTCCGCGAAGAGTATGCGAGCAAGTCGGCCAAGCTCGAGAAGCTCGAGCTGTCGGACCGAGAGATGCTCTCGCGAGACGACCTCAACAAGCTGGCAAACGTCTACGCCGAGGCGCACAAGACATGGAAGAAGCGCAAGCGCATCATCAAGGACTGTGTCGACCTGCTCGCTGAGAACTCGGGCAAGAAGCCCGCAGCGCTGCTGGAGCTGATGGGCGTCGAGACCGATGAGGAGGTCGGCGTCGACATCAAGGCTATGCCCGTCCCCGAACCGCCCAAGAAGAAGCGCAAGCTTCTTGGCCGCTAGCTGCCTGCGTTGTCCGCAGCATGGCCGCCGCGCCGCAGTGCTCCAGCGCAAAGCATCCGTAAATGACACAGCTTTCCTCCGCATCGGCCGGAAAAGCTCGGCTCGCTCGAGCTGCCGCTGCTTGCACCGGCATCTCTCGCCCGCCGACGAACACTCGACGCTGCACCCTACTAGCCATGCTCACGCGCGTTCTAGCAGCAACACAGGCCGGGAGCCTGCGGCTCGCGGCACGAGTGTGCGGGCCAGCGGCAGGGGCCGGCGTCGCCGCATCCATGGCGACGTACCGCAAGCGTATCGGCTCGCGCCCGCTGCGGTCGCGGCTGGAGGCCGTCGGCGGCACGGCCAGCGACGCTGCCCTTGGCCTCCGCGCCAACAACAACCTGCGCCTGGTGACGCTTGACACCGAGGCCAAGGCCTCGCTCTCGAGCAACCTTCTCGCGGAGCTGCAGGAGCACTATGCGGTACGAAGCTAGCGGGAGAAGATTGCAGGAAGGGGAGGGAAGAGGCGAAGGGCAGGATGGGTGCTGACTCACGGCACCGGGTGCGACATGCTGGGGCGATGTGGTGCAATGCGGCGGGCAATGCCGACGTGGGGGTGGAGGACAGCGGTGGTCGATTGACCCCAACGTGGCGGCGGTGGTGCTTCAGGCTTCACCCAAGACCAACAAGGTCTTCTCGGCCGGCTTTGATCTCGAGGCGCTCGCCGGCGACAAGGCGGCCGCATACCTCGCCGAGTACTTTAAGCTTGCCGAGCTTGTCAGCGCGCGGTTTGAGAACCACCACATTGCGCTCATCGATGGTCATGCGGCGCTGGGTACGTTTGGCGTCTCGGCCGCAGGGCGGTGGTCGGTGGCGACCGAGGCTGCGTCATTGGCGGTCGACGAGGTCCGAGCCGGTTTGCCAGTCACCGGAGGCGCGTCGTACGTGCTCGCGCGGATGCCGTTTGGCATGGGCGCGTACATGGGCCTCACCGGACGGCGGCTCAACGGCCGGTCACTCCTTCACGCTGGTCTTGCCACCCACTACCTGGGCTCGGACAAGCTGCCTGCGCTGCTTGATGAGCTTGCTACGCTCACGACCGACGCCGCGTCGTATGAGCGCATCAACGACGTCCTCACATTTTTCATCGACAACCTCGAAGGCAACGCAGCATGGCTCGAGCTCGAAAAGTCGCCTGAAGGCCTGGCTCACCGCCGCGCCGCCCTCGACAAGACCCTGTCCGGGCGCGATGGCGGTGAGCCGTCGGGCGCGCTGGAGTGGACCTTTGGCGAGGCGCCGTCCATGGAGATGTTGGTTGAGCGGCTGTCGGTCCTCAACTCGCCGTGGGGCGCCCGCATGCTGGCATCTCTCGCCTTTTGCTCGCCGCTGGCGCTCAAGGTCTCGTTCGAGCTCATCCGCTCTGCCGCTGATAAGACGCTGCACGAGGCCATGCGCGACGAGTACCGCGCCGCCGTTCGCCTTATCAAGTCACCGGACTTTGCCGTCGGCCGCGAGTCGTACGCTCGCGTTGCTGCCCTCGGCTCGCTCAACCCGGCCTCGGGCTCCGTTCCCGCCAAGCTGGAGCCGCCGTCGTGGCCATCGGGCTCGGTCGCCGACGTTGCCGACGCCGACGTTACCGCCATCATCAACACGCCGCTCTCGCGCGGCGCTGACGGCGCCAGCGACCTTGTTTTCAAGGCGTAGTAATAGACCCTGCAGCCAACTCTCGCTGCCATGTCTTGCGCATAGATGTATGTGAGTGTGTGAGTGTGTTTGCTGACTTCTAGGCAGAGAATGCCGGTTGTGCGGGCGAGCGGCGCTACACTGCGTTGCGCTGGTTGGCATCCGCGTTGGGATCCTCCAGGACCACGGTAGTATTCTTGGCATCACGCTTAGCCTGGCCGACCAGCGCCCGCTCGGTGGCGTTGGTCAAGTTGAGCTGCTCGATCTTGCGGCGACGCGCATCCTCCATGCAGCACGTCCCGAGCAGAAAGTAGATGGTGCCAAAGCCCATGAGGGTCCAGCCGGCAATCTGGCGGATGAGGTCGATGGTATCCGAGATCTTGTCCGAGCAGGCGGCGAGTGTGAGGACGGCGAGGAAAATGAGCGATAGCCCGCGCCCGAGCCAGCCGCGGAGAAAGGCGAGGTAGACGTAGAGCGGCTCCGGGTCGAACTCGCCGTACATGTGCAGCGCACAGAAGAGTAGCGTGTATATGCGGAGCACAATGCGCGCCACGTCGTCAGCCTGGCACACCCCCACACACTACGTGAGTCTTGTGCCCCCTCTCCCGCGGCACCGCGCTGCCGGCCATGCCGCCTCCGGCTGCAGGCCACGCGCTGCGTGCCTTTCCCCCCGCTCCGCCGCCGCTCGGGCGTCCTGCGTACCTTGTTGACTGCAAATGAGTCAATGAGAATGAGGACTGTGGCCACCGCCACAAATATGAGAGCGACGACCACAAAGAACCGCATGATATTGTACGTGATGAGCGCACATGACCTGGCCATGGCAAACGGTCTGCCGCGTGGAGTGTCGCTGCCGCCGTCGGCCCGAACCCACCAAGCCAGCCGGCGAGCTGGCGTTTGCAGGCTCCGGAGGCACGCGCCCCGGCGATTTGGTGCAGCGACGGAGCGTTGCGGATTTGCCACGCCACGTTCGGGCAACCCTGACCACTTTTCTCGCTTCTGCACATCCTGGGTACGTTGCTTCGAGGACACATGAACCAGCCAGAGAGCGACGACGTGGGCTACTCGGCGGAAAGGTGTGTGACCGTTGCTCGAGACTGCCACATGGTGCAGTCTATGTTGTGGTGCGGCGGCCGCTGTGGTGGTGGAGGCGGAGGCGGGGCGGAAGGTGCGACCGACCGGAACGCATGCCCGCGTCGTCCCCCCTCTTGCCTTCCATGTGCGCAGCTGATAGTTTGCATCCTCACTCACTCGGGACAACCTTGCACAGCATGTCTACGCCCCCTCGCGGTGCGCGACCGCCACCCAAGCCGGTGCGAAAGCAATCTGTGGTCCTAACACGGATACCTGTGCCGGGTGCTGTTTCGCCACCGTCACGATCGATCTCCGCTGCACACTCGCCCAGCTCGCACTCGCCCAGCCCAAACTCTGGTGCTGCTCCTCCTGCCGAGCCTGCTGCTCCTGCTGCCGAGCCTGCTGCTCCTGCTGTCGAGCCTGCTGCTCCTGCTGCCGAGCCTGCTGCTCCTGTTGCCGAGCCTGCTGCTCCTGCTGCCGAGCCTGCTGCTCCTGCTGCCGAGCCTGCTGCTCCTGCTGCCGAGCCTGCTGCTCCTGCTGCCGAGCCTGCTGCTCCTGCTGCCGAGCCTGCTGCTCCTCCTGCCGAGCCTGCTGCTCCTGCTGCCGAGCCTGCTGCTCCTGCTGCCGAGCCTGCTGCTCCTGTTGCCGAGCCTGCTGCTCCTGCTGCCGAGCCTGCTGCTCCTGCTGCCGAGCCTGCTGCTCCTGCTGCCGAGCCTGCTGCTCCTGCTGCCGAGCCTGCTGCTCCTCCTGCCGAGCCTGCTGCTCCTGCTGCCGAGCCTGCTGCTCCTGCTGCCGAGCCTGCTGCTCCTGCTGCCGAGCCTGCTGCTCCTCCTGCCGAGTCAGCTCCGCCACCAGAGCCGGCTTCCGACCCCTTCGCAGAGCCGGCTCCCACTACCGATCCCTTGGCCGAGCCTTCCACCAAACCGCAAGATCGCCTGCTGCAGAACCGCATGACCCGCTCCAGCTCGTTTGGATTCCTCGTGCCAGGCGTGACGCCCAAGGCTGCCGAGCCAGAGGGTGAGGACACCAGCATCGCCATTGAGCCGACATCGGTCTTTGCCGACGACGAGTTTGGCTTTACTGCCGCGCCATCATCCCCGCGGGAAGCCGAGACCGACTCTGCTGCCATTGTCGGGCCTGACGCCGACGGCGGGACGCCCGACACGACTGCCGGTGAGCTGACCTCGGAGCCGACAGAGCCCACCGAGGCCTCGGTCGTCGCGGCCTTTCTTGACGACGACTTTGGCTTTGGCTCGCCAGGAGCAGGCTCGTCCATCGCCAACACGCCGTCGACGCCGCCGCACGTCTCGATCGTGTCAATGCCCAACTCGTTCGATGACGAGTCAAGCATCGCCGCCGCCGCCGCCGCAGACTCGGACTCAACCGATCGTGACGGTACCATTGGCGGCGACGGCGCACTTGCAGAAGACGAATGCATGCACGGCGGGCTCTCTCAGGCTGCAAACAATGCAGATGTTGCAGACGACCCAGACAACCCAGACGCCAGCTTTGACTCTGATAGCTCAGACGAGCCTGGTCCAGGAACCCGCTCTCCACTCCCGCGGTTTGGCGACAAACGCCACACCATGCGCCCGGTCTCCACCGCAGGCTCACTTGCCCTGCCGGGTTTTCTCGCCGCGCCAGGCTCACGCGGCACGTACACGCCTGGCGCAACGTCGGCCACCCCGCCGGCTCCACTGCCCGCCGGCTTTGATCTTGTCTCGGCCATCCTCGATCCGTCGTACTCGCTCCGCATGGATCTCGACACTGACGACGCCACAGAGTCGAACCTCGAACTCACCGAGAACAACGACAGAGAGTCGGGCAATGACGACACAGGCTCTGACGGCGGCGACCTCGACGGCGGCGCAAGCTCCAACTCGGACCCCAATGAGCTCACTGTAGAGCTCACCGACGCTTACCCCGAGGCGCCCAAGGCCGTGACTGCTGCCAAGGCCCCCTCGTCCGCAGCATCGTCGCCGGAGTCTGCGCCCGCAGCCTCGCCGCGCAAGCCCAAGCCCCGCCGTTCCCGCGCCCTCCCCTCGGTTCCGCTCACCCCTGAGCAGATCAAGGCCAAGCTCGCCGCAAAGGGCATCTTCACCGCCGAAGTCGCCCGCAGACGCACACTGCCGTGCGACATGGTCAAGACCTCCTTCGCCCGCCCAGCAGATCTCACCCTCGACACCCTTCCGCCGCCACCGCCCTCAGTCCCGCATCGCATCGAGGACCGCTTCGCTCTCGCCGCAGAAACCGAGGAAATGGTCGTCATCTCGCAGCCGGGCTCCAACCGCATGCTCGTCAAGGCCGCCACACTCACCCGCCTTGTGGAGCACCTCACTAACGAGAAGTTCCCGGACCCCGACTATGTCCTCACCTTCCTCCTCACCTACCGCTCCTTCACACGTCCCATCGACCTCCTCGAGCTTCTTATCCAGCGCTTCGACATGGCCACTCCGCTCACCTACTCGGACGACGACTTTCGTCGGTTCAACAAGGAGAAGCAGACCGTCATCCGCCTCCGCGTCTTCAACGTCCTCAAGACCTGGGTCGACAAGCACTCGTACGACTTTATCGATGCCGACGACGATCTCATCACCAAGCTCCACGACTTTCTGGACACTACCATGCCCAAGTCCGGCATGGCCCGCGCCGCCCAGCAAATCCGCGCTCTCCTCGAGAAGCGCTATCAGGGCCGCGACGAGATCGAGAAGATGATGCACGAGGCTCCGCCGCGCGTTGAAATCCCGCCTGGCCTCGACCCCTCCATCGAGCCCTTTACCCGCCTCTCCGCCTGCGAGCTCGCCCGCCAAATCACCCTCATCGAGCACACCATGTACTGCTCTATCCGCCCCTGGGAGTGCCTCAACCAGGCCTGGACCGAAAAGGGTGAGAACAACATCCGCAAGCTCATCAGCCACTTCAACGACACCTCTCAGTGGGTCTGCATGCGCATCCTCGGCGCAGAGTCGCTCCGCGAGCGCAAGTCCGTCCTCACGCACTTTATTCACATCGCCGCAGAGCTCCGCAAGCTCAACAACTTTAACGCCGTCATGGAGCTCGTCGCAGGCATGCAATTCTCGCCTATCTTCCGCCTCAAGCACACTTGGAACGCCCTCTCTTCCAAGACTCGCTCCACCTACGAGTCCCTCTGCGCTCTTGTCGACCGCTCCAAGAACTACAAGAATCACCGCGCCGTCATGCGCACAATCCACCCGCCCTGCATCCCTTACCTCGGCATCACCCTCACTGACCTCACCTTTATTGAGGACGGTAACTCCAACATGACCGCGGACGGCCTCATCAACTTTGACAAGCGAAACAAGATCTCCCGCGAAATCAGAACCATCCAGCAGTTCCAGAACACCCCGTATTGTCTCACAGAGCTGCCCGTCGTCCGCGACTGGCTCTACCACGTCTTCTCGCAGCCGTACGACGAGAACGACGCCTACGCCATCTCCCAGCGCCTCGAGCCCAAGCACGCCTCGGTCAAGGAAATCACCCAATAGACACACGTGAACACAACCTGTCCCTCTCCCCCCCCCCTACCTCGATCAAGCTCGAGCTCAAGCCTGCCGCCTCGATTCGTCGTACTTTACAGCTCATAGCTTTCGCTTGGTGCCAACGAACGCCGCATCACTCCTCATCCTCGTCATCCTCGTCGTCGTCGTCGTCCGAGTACTCGGAAGAGCCCTCCAGATCCGCGGGATCCACCGCGTACGCCTCCGAGTAGGCGTCGAAGAGGACCTGGTGCGTCGCGCCGCCCTCATCGCAGAGCTGATGCGGGAACTTACCGTCCTCGTTGCTCACCGTCGGGTCCGCACCGGCCTCCATCAGCACACGCACCACCTGTGTGTGGCCCTTGAACGCCGCAAAGTGCAGCGGCGTGTCGCCCGTCGTCTCGCACACGCTCTGCTCCGCCCCCTGCTCCAGCAGAAAGCCTACCACCGCGGGCCACCCAAACTGCGCCGCGTAGTGCAGCGGCTGTTCCTCCCGCCCGCACACCGCCCTGCACGTAAGTCCGACTCCCTCATCTCGCCACTCCTTTTTCCTCTTTGCGCCCAGCACTCGTACCGTCTTGCCTGTCTGGTCCGGGGCGTTGACGTTAAGCGCCGAATCGGCCGCAAACAGCTCCTGAATAGCATCCAGCCGCCCGGCACGCGCAAACGCATACAGCTGCACCTGCGGTGAGGTCGTGAGCTCGCTGACGTCGGCCATGGTCTCTTGTGCTATTGGGTAGTAGAGTTGGGTACTCGACGCTCTCAGCTCCTGCCCCCCATCCCAAGTCCCGACGCCGTACTGCCTTCCGGCTATCAAGGAGCCAACAGGCATTTCATCATATTATTCGTTTTGACAGCCGAAGAAAATGATACCGCCTCAACCCCGCCGCCCCGCCGCTTGTGGGCGGCGGCATATGTGTGTGTGTTGTGTGTTTGTTGCAGCAACGACAAAAAGCGTCGTACTGCGATCTGTGATCTGTGTCTGTGATGGTGGTTGATGGTTGGTCGAGGTAGTTGAGGGTGCCTTGGTTGATGATGGCGGGTGGCTGGGAGGGTCTATGTGCCCGAGAGCAGACTGCAATCGGGCGAGATGTGGCGTTGTCAAGATGGTGAAGTTGCTTGTCTGTGGTGGGGTGGTCTTGTCTTGTCAATCGATGTCATGGAGAGCGTGTGGCCTTGTCGTTGGCTCGTGGTTAAGCGGATGGAGAAAGCGCGGGTTGATGAGGGGAAGAAAAGAAAGTCGATGACGGCGTGGGGCGACAAAACAACCTTGCCGCGTCATGAGCGATCACCGCTGGCGCGCCCGCCCTGCATCACAACCTTAAGGTTGGACTCGCGACGGAGGACGTCCTGCCGAGCCTTGGCCACGTCGTAGTCGTACTGCTCCGTGCCAAAACCGGGGAGCGACGGCGCACCGCCAGGCCCGGGCCACATCGGGAGGGGCGCCTGCGACGCGCCGGCTCCGTTGTCGGGCGACTGCTGGGTCCAGATGGCAAGCCGCGACGAGCCGCCCGAGGCAGCAGCAGCGACGCTCGCCGAGCCGCTGTTGCTCGCGCCCTGCGAGCCGCTGCCGGTCGACGCCATGCTCGCCATGCCGGCGAGCGAGCCGAATCCGCCCGCAAGCGGCGGCGGCGGAGACGAGCCGGTTGCCACTGCAAGCACCGCCGACGTCGGTGCTGGGCCCGACGACATCGGCAGCAGCGACCGCGGCGCTGGCGCCGACCAGTTGTCCTCGCCGACATCGCTGCGAGCAAATCCAAACCGCGATTGAGACGCTCCACCGCGGCCTTGGGTTGCCTGCGCCTGCGCCTGCGCCATCGCCTGAAGCTTGGCCTGCGCCATCGCCTGTGCCTGCGCCTGCGCACGCGCCATTGCCTGTGCCTGCGCCTGCGCCATTGCCAGCGCCTGCGCACGCGCCGCCTGCGCCTGTGCCTGCGCCTGCGCATGGACAGCCTTGGCCCGGACCTGCGCCTGCGCCTGTGCCTGAGCATGCGCCTGTGCATGGGCTGCGGCCTGGGCATGCGCCTGCGCCTGCGCTGCGGCCTGTGCCTGCGCCTGTGCCTGCGCCCGGGCCTGTGCCTGCGCCTGTGCCTGCGCCTGCGCCTGCAAGCGTGCCTGCGCCTGCGCCTGCATCGCCGAGTTTGCGTCATACCCGCTCGGGCTCTCGCCGCTGCCACTCGTCAGAATCGACGCCAGTCCCAGCGACGACTCCTCCCAGGGATCAAACCCGAGGTCTTCGTCGATCCCGGGGGCGAGCTTGCTGCCGCGACCAGAGTGCGCGGCGTGCGCCGGTTGACCCGAGAGCGAGAACAGGCCCGGCGGCCCACTAGACTCGAGCCCGGTGAGCCCCAGCATCGACTGGACGCCCGAGTTGGGACTCGGCGTGTTCCACAGCGTCGAGTACTGCTTGTTGCTGTCGTTGCTGCTGTCTGCGCCGTGTTCGCGCGCCGAGCCCGGCTTGCCGATCGCCCCGGCCGCGCCTGCGCCACCCTTGTTGAGGCCGAGCTTGGTCCCGCGGACTCGCTTGGAAAGCACAACGGCCGAGCCGGTGCCGGTCGACGGTGCCACAACCTTGGACGAGCCACCCGCTCCGCCCTGCCGCTCCGGCCCGCGCTTACGCCCGCCCGGCGCGCCACTCTCACGGCCAGCGTTGCCGCCAGCGCCGCCAGCTCGTTCGTGGCCCCGAGTCCCGGCCGTGGCTTGGACCCAAGAGCTCCGCCCGTCGTCGCCCGACGCTCCGTGCGCCGGATGAGGGCCTGAACCGCCAGAGCCACCAGCTCCGCCAGCGTTGGCCACTAGCGGCTTGGGCCCGCTTCCGCTTCCACCGGTCCCGACCTTGGCGCCCCACTGAGCCGTCGCAGGCAACGCAGAGTCGTGGCCGCCCGAGCCGGCGCCGCCAGACTTGGTTCCGCTCACCGACGCCGCCAGCGCCGGCTCGGGCCAGTCGGTGTCGTCCGCAGTCACGACCGAGGCACGGACTGCACCGCGCCCGAGCCGGGTCTGCCCGCCGCCACCGCCACCGCCCGGGACGCCCCAAACCGAGCCGGAGCCCGAGTCCGGAGCCTCATCCTCTGACGCCGAGCCGTGCACTCCGCCGCGTCTTGCTCCGCCACGGTCGCCGCCACGGTCACGGTCGCGCCGGGCGCGGTCGCCGCCACGATCGCCGCGGTCGCCGCCGCGGTCCCGGTCACGCCGGCCACGATCGCCGCCACGATCGCCGCCGCGGTCGCGTCCGCCGCGGTCCCGGTCGCCGCCACGATCGCGTCCGCCGCGGTCATTAAGGCGCGTCAGCCCGCGGTCGCGCCCACCGCCACGTCGGCCGTCGCGCCCATCGCGTCCGTCGGGCCCGTCACGGTCGCTGTTGGTCCGGTCGCGTCCGCGGTCGCGCCCGCGGCCAGAGCGGTCGCGCGATCCGGCACCTGCCGACGACGACGAGCCGGCCACCAACGGCTGCTTGCTCGACCGCCGGCTCCCGCCAGCGTCCTTGGGGAGCGTGCCCGGCAGCTTTTCCAGCTGGTACGGGTACTTTTGCTTGGCCAGATTGACAATGGCCTGTGTCGAGTCGTGGAGGTTGTGCTCCGACGACTTCTCCAGATCCTCCTTGGAAAACGAGTCGCGCTCATCGCCGAGCTCATGCAGATACATGCAGTCCGGGTTGTTGCACTGGACCGAACGCAGAAAGTACGAACAATACTTGGTAGTTCCAAACGAGGCCCGGATCGGCCGGCCGTCGACCAGCGAGCCGTCTGTTGCCGCAATCGCCCGCATCGCCTCGTCAGGCTGCGTGTACGTGATGTAAGCAGAGACTGTCGGGCCCTGCGCCGCGTTGGCGTTGTACAAGTTGTGCCGGTTGACCACAACCTTGTGGATCCGCCCAAACTGCCCAAAGAAGTCGTGCCGCTTGAGCGTCTCCTCACGCGCCACAGAGAGCGAGAGGCCAATGGCGTACACCAGGTTCCGCTGGATGACCCGCACGTTCTGCAGATGCTTGCGCGAGCCGCCGCTGTCGCTCTTGCGCACCCGCTTGCTGCCCTTCTTCTTGCTCGCCTTCTTGATCTCGGACGGGTCCGGCGGCGTGAACTTGTAGTTCTTCTCGTCGTACACCTGTCGGCATGCCGGACACTGCCCACTCATGTTGTCCTTGATGTGGTTGAAGCAGAACCGACAGATCTGCGCGCCACCAATGACCACCGCCCACACTTGCTGTTAGTCGCGCCAGCTGGTTGGGAACACTCGGCCCCACTTCAGCGCCCTCCGCCCTCCGCCTGCGCCACCCCCGCCTTCCACGAGCCTCCCCTCCTGCTCCGTCCTCACACATGACCTCTGCTTGCACCTTGCAGGTCCGCGGCCCCCGCGCCACGCCTCTACTCCCTCTCCTCCGCCCCCGCCTCCCGCGCCCTTGCGAGGCGAGGGATGATTTTTTGGCCGACGGCAGTGCTCACCTCACCGCCCGCCACCCTCCCCCACACGCTCGCATCGCCTCCCTAGGCACGCTCACCACCACAACAGCAGGCTATGCCAAAGTTCACCCACCACACCTTCCATCCCACCACGTCAGCCTTCCGCTATACGTACCTGGTAGCCACAAGGGCATGGCCGGAAATTTCTATCCGTCACGTCGAGCTGCTCCATGCACAGCGGGCATTCCGGCTCATCATCGTCCGACATGGTCTCGGGGGATGGGGGAAAACGAGCTCCTGCTGCGCCGCGCCTCCTGCTCACCGCTCGCTCGCTCGCTCTCTCTCTCTCTCTCTCCTCTCTCACGAGCGAGGTGGTTCCGTGTAGAGAGCTGTGCTTGCCTCTACCCGACGGTAGCCTCCGTCCCTCACCCGCCCACCCATCAACCCTCCCGTCCGTCGCTCGTCACTCGACCGACCGACCGACCGACCGACCGACCGACCGACCGACCGACCAACTGCCTGCTCCGCCCGTACATGATTCATTGCCCTCTGTGTCGGAAGCAATCATCGATCAAACGGGACTGGTACCACCAAAGGTCGCCACGACAATCTGTCTATAATCTCTATCAGACTCTGGACGCGACGGCCATCGCTGGCGGAAACCAGCAGTCGAGGTCGATGGCGTGAGCCAGTGGTCGAGGTTGACGGCTGGCTCCGCTACGACACAGCCTTGGGCACCCAGCGAGCAATTCGGGCGAGCTCGCGAAGCCTCCAGGCCTCACGCTCGGCACCATCATCGGACGCAGTGTCCGACTCGGTCTCAAAGTCCGAGTCCTGCTCGGCCTCAGCGGCGGCAGCAAGCTCGGCCTTGACTGTGGCCTCAACCATGCGGCGCGACTCGGCGCGCCGCTCACTATCGCGCTTGGCAGAAGCAGTCAGCATGGCATCTGCCGTCTTGGCCTTGGCCTTGGCCTTCTCGCTCGCAGGCCCATTTCCACGCACAGATCGTGGGATGAATACCGGCTTGACCGCCAGCGCAGCGCCACCGCCTGACGACGACGAAGCGGACGAGTCATACCCCGAGCCCGAGCTACTATCGCTCGAGTACCCACCATACGAGCCGTATGAGCCGTACGAATACGAGTCGCTGCGGCGCGGCGCCACAGTCGCCGCCGCCGCCGCCCGCTCTGTTGCGCTCTGCTGCGCCGCAGCAAAGGCCGCCCTCCGCCGGGCTGCCACACCCGACGATGACGATGACGACGACGATGACGACGCGCCGCCAAGCTGGCGGATCTCCACCTGGCCCGCAGCCGCCGTCGTCGCCGTCGGCGGCGGCGGCGGGGCCGACGCCGTCGGCGCGGCCACAGGGCTGGGCCGAGTCGCAGCAGGCTGCTCGCCACGGCGCTTGCGGCGGCGCCTACGACGACGCCCAGAGGCTGTTGGCGGAGCATTGCCTGCAACAGGTGGTGCCACGCCTGTTCCTGCCGCCCGGGCCCTGCGGCGGCGGACAGCATCCATGAGGTCGGTGCCCTTGGGAGCAGCGGCAGCGCCCGCCGCGGCAGCCGGCGCCGCACCAGCACGATACACTACGACCTTGGTTGCCTGGACAGCGCCATCGCGGGCCTTGTCCGAGCCCTGACGAGCTGGTGCAGCAGCCTTGGCGCGTGGCATGGAGAAAAGTGTGGGCTACGTCTGGGCCTGGGTCTCGGCCTGGGTCGTCGTGCGCCGACCTCGATGTGGGTACTTTATGGTCAGCGGCCTGGCGCTTACCCCCGGGCCTGGGCCTGGGCAGCAGCGCCCGCGCTCGGCTTGTACACCTTGGAAGAGTTGAGGATGTTGAAGAAGGGGATGGCGGTGCCGAGGACGACGCCCAGAAACGACGAGACGACGACACCAGTGATGATAAAGAGCGACATCTTGTCACGGGCGCGGTCGACAATGTACTCGACGCAGGGAGGGATGGCCGGATTGATGTTCTGCGCCGGCCCGCACGATGAGCCCGGGTAGTCCTGGTTGGTGAGGAAGCCGCAGCAGTTGTGGATGTTCTGCAAGTTGGACCGGGTCCCGTCCGACGACTTGTGCCACCCGGCCTGCAGCTTGTCCCGCAGCCGATCCTGGTACCACTTGGCAGTAATGGTGACAGAGACCACGGCTGCAAAGGTGAGCGCCGTGAGGAGGAGAAAGACCGCAAACTCACGCTTACGGTGGTGCATGCTGCTCCACGTCCCGAGGAATGAGAGGAAGAACATGATCACCCCAAAGACAAGGACCGCCACAGGCAGAGGCACGTTTGTCAGGCCTTGCCCAATGTCCGGCGACCGGTACACCAGTGCTGTACCCACAATTGCCCCTGCTGCGCCGAGAACCATCATCAGGACAGAGAGGACCATGATTCCGAGCGTCAGACGCGGATGCGGCGTCGCGTCGTCATCGCCTCTGCCGTCACCGGCGGCATTGCCGCTTCCTCCTCCGCCACCACTTGTACTTCCAGCTTCGCCCTCACCTCCACTCGTCGGCTTGCTCCCTCTGCTCTGCCCGCTTCCGGTCTGCCGACTCTGCGCCGCCGCCCGTCCGCTGCGGCCGCTGCCAGCACCACCAGCACCGCCAGTACCGCCAGTACCGCCAGTGCCACCTGCACCACCAGTGCCACCAGCGCCGCCGGCGCCCTTAGTGCGCCTCACAGGATCCATGACCTACTCTGCCATGCAGCCGCCCGCCAGTAAGTCCCCTCTCCCCCCCCCCCCCCCACACCTACCCGCCCGCCCGCCCGCCTGTCGGCCACACGTTTACCTCCCGACGTACTTCCTCCTCCGAATACGAGTACGTGTACGAGCCGAGGTACGAGTACGAGTAGCCCCCGTCGGAATGCGGATACATCTCCAGTCGCTCACGCTTCTCTGCCATTCTTCGGCAGCCACACCGGCTCACGAGCAGTGTGGACGTCTTCCTAAAAGTACCACATACCGTCCCCGGTCCACGGTCCGCTTTCGCCGCTTGCCGCGATCGTGATCAACCGCATTGTTCGCCAACCGGCAGAAAAAAGCCGCTGACCAGCCGAGCAACCAACAAGCAGGCCAGAACGGTTGAGTGAGTAACCGACGCAGCCACGTTCCCAGCCACGGCCACCCACCACCCTTACCACCCCACCCACGGCCGCCCACCGCCCACCACCCCTCTCCTCTGACACCAAGCAACCTGCACACCATGGCTGCCGAAATCCATAACGTCGGTACGTCCCATCTCCACCCCCCCTCCCCCCCCCCTCAGCCCGCTTCTCCTCGCCTTTTTCCCCATGGCGCCTGTGGACAGCAACGCTCTCTTTCTTCGCTCTTTTTTCTCTCACCTCCTCCTTCCTCCTCCTCAACTCACCGCCCGCCCCCCCCTCCCTTTGCACACGCAGACGACATCCTCGAGGCCCACATTCCAGCCGAGGAACTGGCCGAGGTCAAGCGCATCCTGTACGGCTCGCCGTGCGGCGAGATCGAGGTGGTGGACGCTGCGGCGCAGCTGTCGGCCGACAACGACTTTGAGATCAAGGCTTACCAGTACAACGCCAAGCCCGAGTCGACCCGCCCGCCGCGCATTGTTCGCATCGGCCTCATCCAGAACACCATTGCCGCCGAGACGACCGAGCCCATCGAGGTCCAGCGCGATGCCATCTTTGCCAAGATCGCACCCATCATCGATGCCGCCGGCGAAATGGGCGTCAACGTGCTCTGCCTCCAGGAGGCTTGGCCTATGCCGTTTGCCTTCTGCACCCGCGAGAAGCACCCGTGGTGCGAGTTTGCTGAGGACGTCAAGACCGGCCCGTCGACTCGTTTCCTTGCCGCCTTTGCCAAGAAGTACGACATGGTCATCGTCTCGCCCATCCTCGAGCGCGACGAGGTCCATCTCGAGACCATCTGGAACACCGCCGTGGTCATCGACCATCGCGGCGAGGTCCTCGGCCGCCACCGCAAGAACCACATTCCGCGCGTTGGCGACTTTAACGAGTCGACCTACTACATGGAGCCCAAGCCGCTTCGCCACGAGGTCTTTGAGACCAAGTACGGCCGCATTGGCATCAACATTTGCTACGGCCGCCACTTTCCGCTCAACTGGCAGGGCCTCGCCCTCAACGGGGCGGAAATCGTCTTCAACCCCTCCGCCACCGTCGGCGCCCTCTCTGAGCCCATGTGGGCCATCGAGGCCCGCAACGCCGCCATCGCCAACAACTACTTTGTTGGCGCCATCAACCGCGTCGGCACCGAGACCTTCCCTAACGAGTTCTCGTCTGGCAACGGCAAGCCTGCCCACAAGGACTTTGGTCACTTTTACGGCTCATCCTACATCGCTGCGCCCAACGCCTCGCGTACCCCGGGCCTCTCGCGCACCCGTGATGGCCTCCTCGTCACAGAGGTCGACCTCAACCTCTCCCGCCAGGTCCGCGACCTGTGGTGCCTCAACATGACTGCCCGCCTCGACGAGTACGGCGAGAAGATCTCCGCCGCGGCTTCGGACGAGTTTACCCCCGAGCGCATCGGCAAGTAAGGAGCTGACTGCAATGGGCACGTCGCTCGACTCTCACAAGAATAACAAACCATGGCACGCCTCAGCTCGACTTTGGCAACCAGACTGGCCGTCCGCTGCTTCCGCCACTCCTACTCTTTTCGTCGCTTCCTTCCGCCTTGGTCAGCTCGTGCCTTGTCCATGATCCAGCCCGCATCTCAAACCTCACCTGGTACCTGATCCGTGGGCTCGCTTTGGGAGTCTTGCTCGCGCTATCGTCGCCATCATCCTCATTACGGCCGACCACTTCAGCTCCTCCCTTGATTGCTGTGACCGAGACCACCATGTTGGCGGCGGCCATGGCCAGGTCCTCGGCATCGGCAGCACTCAGCGCCTTGAGCGCTGTCGTCGTCCGCGAGACTACCAGCGTGTCAAACAGCCGGTCGCCCATGGCCTCGACGAGGCCCATGCCCAGTTCGGGGAACATGGCTGCGTACAGGTCGAGCGTTGCTGCCGCTTGCCGCTGTGACGGAAAGTACAGCGTGTTGCTCACCGCCCGCAGCAAACCACTCACCGCCCCAGCGTTGACGGCAAGCACTCCGAGCTCGGTCCGCGTCGACGCCAGGATGCCCAGGATCTTGGCTGCCGCCGCTTGCTGCGGAAACGCTGCCGGAATGATGCCACTCGACGTTGGATCCCTTGTGAGGAACGAGTTGCGCGCGAGCGACGCCCGCGACAGCGCTCCAGCCTTGGAAGACGCGAGCACCACATCCATGATGTCGCGAGACGGAGAGAGCAAACTCACAAGCTCACTCAGCATCTGCTCCTGCAGAGCCTCAAACCGTGCGTAGATCTTGAAGAGCTGCACCGCCTCGTACTGGACCTTCAGGTTTGTCGACCGCAGCATCAGCAGTGCAGGCTTGATGTACACTTCGGACGGCGGCGGCCGCGAGGTCAGCAGCATCTGCAGCGACTGCGCTGCCATCTGCTGTACCCGCGCATTGCCCAACGGGAGCAAGAGGAGAAACGCCAGCCGCACAGAGTCAAGGTACTTGGGGTTGCCCTCGCCCAGCGCTTGTAGCAGCCCCACTGCAGCGTCCTGCGTCTCCACCGATGACGTGTTGGCCAGACAGAGGGCCACTGCTTTGATTCCGCCATCCTCACCCGAGCCCTCGGAAATGAGCTCCTTGAACGCCCGCCCCACACGCGCCACCGCACTCAGGATCTCCAGTGCTGCTCGCACGTCATCATCCGACGCGCCGTCTAGACTCAAGATCTGCAGTACCGTCATGAGGCCGCCGACCTCCAGAAATTCGGTCAGGAACCGCTGCCCGTCGGTGGCGCGGAGAAAGACACCTAGCGCGCGCAGCTTGAGCTCCAGATTCGACGCAAACAACACTGTCAGCCGAAGCCACGCCGAGAATCGGGTCAGCACCAACGATGCTCCATTGCTAAAGTCCACCTCCAGCAGCGGATTCGTCACGCCCTCGTAGCGGGCCACAAACGTCCGGGCCATGCCCACCCGTCCGCGCTCGCCGGCCGCATCCCACTGCTGCGCAAACGTGCTGGCGTTCCATCTCTGTCCGCCCCGCCTACGACCGGCCCTCCCGCCCCGCCCACCATCCCACCGCGTTCCAGGCCCACTCTTTCCATCGACTGTCCGCCTCAGCGACGGCGTCGGGTCGAACCGTGGCCGTTTGCCAGCCCACACCCTGCCACGCGAGCGGCCCTCACGGACGCCCCGTACCTGGGTCTCTGTCTGCGCCCTCAAGGTCCACGGGCCCACCGCCACTCGCCGTCCGCTTGCCCCGCCCTCCTTCTCGGCTGCTTGCGCCAGCTTGAGCGACGTTGTCTTGCTCACCTTGCTCAGCACTGCTTACACACTCGGTCCGTCAATGAGTGCAACCATCGCCGCCGCACACACACACCCTCGCCCCCCCCCCCCACACACACACACACACACCACCACCATCACCACCCCTATCCCCACTCCATACGTACCTCTGTCTGCATACGACCTGCCTGTGTCGTAATGCACCGCACGATTCACCGCCAATCGCGGCACATACGTCCGTGGACGGTCCATGACGACGGAAACGGCGGGAGGCGTGTGCAGGCGGCTCGGGCGGTTGGCGCGGGCGGCGGGTGGCGGGTTTGGGGGGGGGGGGGGGGGGGCGTTTTTGACGCTCACAATCTCTCACACTCACCGCAGCTCGCTTGTCCACCACGCCCAACCGGTAGACTCGGGTGCAAGCTGACGGACGCGAGGGCGATGCCGGTGCCCTCCGCGCCACCGCTTGCGGGACGATGCACGAGAAGAAGTGCGGGCCTCGGCCTGACGACGAGCGATCTCGCGGTCTTTGGCATCGAGTACGGCATGGAGCTTGGCAAAAGCATCACGGCGGTCGCGATCGGCGCGGAGGCACCGGGTCGTACCGGTACGAGCGCCAGTCGGCGGCTCGTCCGTTGCCGTCAAAATCACACCCGGCCGGTACTTGGGGCGTCCACGGCGGCGATCTCGGCGTGAGAGCGAGCCGATCCGGCAGGTCGGAAGCTGATCCGACACGCCAAGCGCGGTCGCTGCCGCAGCGGCCGCCACCTCGACCGGTGCACCGGGTTCAACTACGTCGGTGAAGATCAGGGGTCGCGCCAGTGGGAAAGACCGGTTCCCGGGGCCGATTGGTGTTTGCGGAATGAGCGTGAGCGTGTCGCGCTTGTCGTTTGGAGCAATGCGGATGACCGCGCTCCGCACTTTGGCTGCAGCCTCGGCGCCGACTGGCGCCTGCGACGGCGCCGCGCCCGGCTTCTTGGGTGCTGCCGTACCAAGTGCAATCTGGGCCTCGACATCGCGATGGACGTTGCGCCACTGGTCCAGCCCTTCCAGCTCAGTCCGTTTCATCCGTTGCCGTCCCAGGATCCCCGTCCGCGGCGTCCGCGGCGGCGTCGCAACCGCACTGCACCAACCAGAGGTGTGCGACAACGAGCTTTGCGATGAAAAAGTCGGCGTAAACGAAGGCGACGACGAGAATGTGGATGAAGAGGTCGACGTCGGTGGCGAAGATGATGATGAGACCTCACGCTTCTGCTTCTTGCGGCTCTGCCGCCGCCGCCGCCGCCGCAGCAGCAGCGATCGGCGCGCTGGGTAGTAGACTTGGACCTGGGGCATGCGGTGGCGGGGCCTGTGATCGGCACGACGAGATCCACGCTGCTTGCGTTTGCGCTTTGTTCCTAGTCTTGCTGTCGACGAGTGAGTACTCGAGCTAGAGCCGGGCGAGGTGAGCGAGTTGCGCGCCGGTCTGCGTTGCGGTGTGGCGACCACTAGCGGGGGTGGCGGTGGTGGGAGAGGACGTGAGCGAGTGCCAGCGATGACCACATGTGAAGAAAGTGGCGGTGGCGACGGAGTCAGTGATGAAACCTCAAATGAGATGGTTGATGATGATGTGTTGTTGTGAGAGTTTCTCGATGTGTCCTAGGTGAAGAAAAAGCCGTCATGAATGAGTTGGCATTTGGTTGATCTTGGCTGATCAGCCCCCCTTCTTGCACCTCATGCTCCGACCACACACACTACCTCGATGTAGACCATGCACACTCGTATGAAGAGGCTATGGTGGTCATATAAATGCATTGTGTGTTATATGTGGTGTTCAACACTTTGGCAAGTGTATTGCGTGTGTGAACGTACATGATGGTCATCAGGAGCGCTCTGCGACGACTTTTGGGGGAGGCCTGACGCCGTAGGACGCGCGGTCGTCGATGGGAGGGGGGAGAGCGATGACGACGATGATGAAGATGATGGTGTAGACTCCCATGGAGGGCGTGATGGGAGGCGGGCAGGGAGATTGTGTATGGGGCGGAGCGGCATGTTATGACGCCGAGTACGACGAGTCTGACGAGTCTGACGACGCCGAGTTCGCCGGACCAGGGACCGGCGAATCGGAAGCCGACGGCGAGTCTGACGAGTCAGTCGAGTCTGACGACGACGAGGAGGCAGTCGGGTATGACATAGCGTCCATGGGCACATCGTGGCCAGGCAAGTCCATGTCGGCCTTGCCGTAGACGTACTTGTCAGTGATCTTGAGGAAAACTTCCTCCAGCGACGAGTTGGCCACGCCGGTCTCGTGAATAGCAAGCGAGTCGGGGGCCGCATCAAAGGCGGCAAAGATGCGATGAAGGGCGACGGCGTCCTTGGAGACTTCAAAGTTTGTGGTGCCGGAGAGGGTATTGAGGACTGTGGCCGACGGAATGTGGCTCTCGACGTAGGCAATGACGTCGTCGACGGTGTCGGACGAGGAGATGACTGAGAGCTTGTAGCCTTTGCCGTAGCGGAACTTGAGCTGTGGCGCCGAGCCGATGGTCTTCATCTCACCGTTGACAAAGATGCCGATGCGATCGCAGAGAGCGTCTGCTTCGTGCATCGAGTGAGTGGTGAGGAGCATGGCGCACTTGGACTTGTACTGCAGGATGACATCCCACAACTTCTGGCGCGATGCCGGGTCGAGGCCCGTTGACGGCTCGTCGAGGAGGAGGATGCGCGGTGAGCCGATGAGAGCACAGGCGACCGAAAGACGGCGCTTCATGCCGCCCGAGTATTCAGATGAGACCTTGGCACGGGTAGTCTTGTCGTTGAGGGCAACGGCTTCGAGAACTTGGTCGACAGCGGCGGTCAGTTCCGTGCCCGAGAGGTTCTTGAGGCGGCCGTAGAAGCGCAGGTGCTCCGGGCCGGTGAGATCGTCCCACAGCAAGTCCTCCTGGGGACACACACCCATGTTGAGGTGGACGAGGTCGATGTCTGTGTTGATGTCATAGCCGCAGACATGGGCAGTGCCCGAGGTCGGGCCAAACAGGCCAGAAATCATCGAGATGGTGGTGGACTTGCCGGCGCCGTTTGGTCCAAGGAAGCCGAAGCACTCGCCAGCTGAGACGCCAAGAGCGAGGGCGGCACATGCTTCCTTGGGCGGTTGGCCGTTGCGGCCTGGGTAGGTCTTGGAGAGGTCGGCGCAGCGGAGGTCGAAGAAATCGCCCGACGCAACGCGAGTGCGTTCGGCGGCGACATCTTCAGGCTCACCCGCCTTGGACGGAGCGATTGGCGTGGCGGCGTAAGCGTCGGTCGTCGACGCCGTCTTGTCTTTTGGCGGGCACCAGAAGGCCTTATCGAGGAAGAACAGCGGCTTGCGCTTGATGCCGTACGAGGTGGTGTAGACCGCCTCGAGGTAGATGGAAACGAGCATGAGGAAGAGCCATTCAAAGATGAGAAAAGCAAAGACCTCGCCGAGGCGGACCTGGTCGTTGTTGATGTTCTTCCACTTGAGGCCGGGCTCGCTGAATGAGACGCCCTGCGAAAGAATGACCAGACCGCGGTAAAAGGCAAACGGCGGAAAGAGCGAGAGCGAGACAATGGTGGCACGCGGGGTCTCGGGCTGGTACAAGTACTGGCGAACCACAGTCGAGGCGAGGAGGCCGACCGAGAAAATGAAGAGGTAGCCTCCGATCGACGCCGACTGCGCCTTGGAGAAGAATACTTGAAGGAGGAAGACAAGCGACATGAGGACGTGGCCCCAGATGAAAAGCAGCAGAAAGATGGCTGCCGGTGAGTTGAGCGTCCAGTAGCGGAAGCCAAGGATAGCGGCCAGGATCCAAAAGAACATGGAGAAGACAAAGTATAGGGCGTAGCCGAAAAAGTAGTTGACAAGCCAGTAGGGAAGCGACTTGAGGCCCATGATCTTCATGATCTCGCGGAGCTTGTGCTCTTTCTCAAAACAATGGCGGAGAGCACCACCGGAAGCATGAGCTGGAACACGTAGATGTACAGGACAGGGCCGAGGAGCGAGATGAGGTCGAACGAGTTGTCTCGGTCGATCTTGGGAAAGTCTTTCAAGCCCAGAAAGTCCAGCACAGTGTTTGAGGCCGGGGCCAAGAGCGGAAGCGCGCTCTGGGCAATGAGCGACATAAAGAGCGGCGCATCGTCACCCAGGGTCAGACTTTCGTTATAGTGGATCGAGACGTCAAGGGCTGCAGTCGAGCGGTCGAAAGTGTGGAAGACGTAGCCGCCAAACTCGTTGGCCTCACGAAAGTTGTTGTACACGTATGCTTGTTGCGCAGCGATCGACGAGGCGCGCGAAAAGTTGAACGGGTAGACCCAGTGCGGATCCTTGTCACAAAACTCCTGAAAGTTGCCGCGGTCGGGCCAGATCTTGCCGTAGACCAGCTGGATGCCCTCGTTGGGCACGGCGCCGAAGAGGGTGTCGGTCGTCCCGTTGGCGCCGCCGAACCATGCGCCAAGCACGTCTTCGTCGACGTTGGCGGTTTCCGAACCAAGAGTGTACCAAAAGTCGCCATAGACGACGCCTTGTGGCTGCGGAGGGCACGGTGCGCCCGAGTTGTAGTCACAGATGATGGGCAGTGGGCCAGGCTGGAAGGCCTTGCACGACGTGATGCCGGTGTTTGTCCGCAGCAAATACGGCCGCTCAACGGGCGGATGCGGAACAGCCGGGAGACGGGAGCCATCTTCGTTCTGCACAAACGAGTCGACCAGCATCTGGAGGAGAAACATGGCGATGACGATAAAGACAGCCGTGCCGATCTGGCAGCAGTTGGTCTTCTTCTGGCGGAGCTGGAACGTGGCTGATTTGGCGAACAGCGCCCGAAGCTGGACCTTGGTCGACGACGACGTCCGAACCGGGTTGAAGCCATCCGACGACGAGCCGGCCATCGATGACGATCCTGTCGACGAGCCGCGCGATGACGACATGGGCGGCGGGACGGCGAGTTGCGGAGCTTGCAGCGAGTCTGGCTGAGGGTAAACCCTATGGGGCATGCACGGGGCAAGGAGCGAGGCGGGGAAGGAGGGGGGGGGGGCTAGCTTGGCAGCAGTCAAGTCGGTTCCAAGCGAGGAGTGAGAAGTGAGGAGTGTTCACTTGTGTGGGGGGAGGGGCGGTTGGCCGTGTCTGCGTGAGTGCGTCAGCCACCAGTGATCGATCGGCTTTGTGTTCGGTCTGGTGATGGGAGGTGGGGGGGGGGGGGGGCGGTACGGGGTTGGGGAGGGGGGGTTGGGCAACGGAAGGTCTGTGTATACGCCTCTGCTTGAGCATACGTTGGGAGGGGATGCGGCGGGAACGGGTGCGACAGACGTTACTGCGGGCGGATGAAGCGCTGAACAGGTACGGTAGAGGGAGGAAGAAGGGGGGGGGTGTGGTTAGGGCTTGTTCCTTGGTGGTGGTGGCGGTAGAGGAGCGAGCGAGCGACAGACTGACGACAGGGATGGTGGATGGAGGGGCAGAGCTCGGTATCGAGCTGGACAGCAGGTGACAGGGAGGCGCGGAAGCATGGGAGGCGGTGGAGGAGTTGGTGCGACGGAGCGTGCGCTGCTGCAGGCACAGTTGGCGTCGACTCGGGCAGACCTCGAGGTGGCGCTGGCCAAGGTGGCGCACTGGGAGGCATGGGCAGAGTCGATGGGCCTGGTCTTGCCGACGGTGAGTCTGGGACTCGGTGAAGGGGTGGGAGCGCTGTCACCGCGCTCGATGCGGTCAGAGCGCTCGCAGAGCGATGTGGACGACGATGTTGGGTCGGACAGGGAGCTGATGGATGAGGTGGACGAGGTGATGGACGCGGCGCTCATCGCCGAGGCTAATGGTATGCATCCGGAACAGCTGCGGCTGAAACGGGCCGAGCTTCAGGTGGCGATCGAGGGTGGTGAGGGATACGATGTCGACGGCGATGAGGAGGCCGAGGATGTGTTGCGTTCGTCAGATGACGAGGCTGTCCTGGCAAGCGAGAGCGACGGTGTTGATGACGATGTGCTGGAGGAGAGCGATGCTGTCGAGGCTGCGGACGCTGACGACGAAAAAGTGGAGGCTTCGCTGCTTACAATGTTTGCTGGCGAGTATGATGACGACAGTGGTGGGCAAGGTGAAGGTGATGCCGGAACGGAGGCTCCGGCTCGGGTGAGCGGCGAAGCGTCCGAGGACGATTTGTCGTTGGCGCGCGAGCGAGCGGAGCAAGCCGAGCTGCTGGCGACGTGGACCGACGACATGGTGCTGGAGGGCGGGAGCGGCAGCACAACTTAGCGAGGTCGCACAAGTATGTTTTTTGTCGCAAAGCTCTTTAGTGCCAGACGCCCGACGACTGGCTGTCTAGCGCCTGTTCCCAGTTGACGGACGCGTCGGAGGGCATGATGCCAAGCGCCGAGGGCGAGCCTGGCTCTGAGCCGCCGACAAGGCCGTTGAGAGCGGCATTGAAGGTAGACTCGCAATAGGCCTGGATGTCGGGGGCAAGAAGGAGCTGGACAGCAAAGTCACGGCGAGCGTCGGCGACCTCGGCAGAGTTCTCGGGCGCCGCGGCTTCCAGGGCCTGCAGCTCATTGCTGAGGGCGCGGAGATGCTCGTGGTAGCGGAAGACCTCGCGCGGGAGGCCCGAAGCGCGAGCAGACGACATGCCGCCTTTGGCAAGATCAGCAGAGTGAACGAGGTCGGAGAGCTGCGAGGCGAGGCGGCTGTTGAGCTGGACCTCGAGGGTGGTGCGGAGCTCTTCGGGGTCGCTTGCAGCTTGAAGAAAGGCGTGTGGGATGGAGGTAAAGAAGGCGTCGACATGTGCCTCTGCGGCGGTGCGCATGGCGGCGATGAGGCCGTCAGAGATGATGTTGAGCGACGAAGTCATTGGTCGCGAGACAACCTGGCCGTCGTCGGGCGAGGCCATGTCGGCCATGGAGGTCGACGCCCGGTAGGCGAGCAGAGCCTCGTCCGGGCGGGTCGAGTGGAAGAAGACAACAAGGAGGGCGAGAACGTGGCCGACGGCAAGAACGGCATCGCTGGTGTCAGCCGCAACGCCTGCGCCGTCGGCGAAAGCGTCGACGACGTCGAAAAAGGCCGAGGCAAGGAGCGGGGCACCGAGCACCACCTTAGCCAGCTCGCAGGCGTGAACGGGGGAGATGACGACATTGCGGAGGTGGGTGTGCTTGTCCGGGCGCAGCTCGGCGGCAAAGACGGCGCGAGCAAAGAGGAAGAACTCCAGATCCTGAACGTCATAGGTGCCTTCGAGGAAGAGGGCAAAGAGCTCGACGTAGAGCGACGACGCGCGCTCGAGCTCGACATTGTACACCAGATCGAGCGCGGTTTGCTCGGTCAGCGAGCGGAGGCCGTTTTTCTTGGCGAGATGCATGAGGACAAAGCGGTCAAAGCTCATGGCCTCCACAGTTGGGTTGCGGTCGCGGAGTGAGACGGCTTCGGCGAGGATGTCTTCCACCAGCGAACGCTGGTGGGCCTCAAAAGCGGCGCGCGCATCGTAGAGCTCGTCGATGTGCTTGGCGAGCCAGCCGAGGACGTGCTTGCGCGCGGTGAGCTCGTGCCGCGAGCGGAGCCTATCAAAGAACGACGCATACCGGCGCGAAATGAACGAAATCATCTGCTCATAGTCCGAGTTGGTGCGCAAGCCCCGTCGCTTGGACTCTTTGTCTGCACCAGGCGAGCCCTCGGGCTCAGCACCAGCCTCGGTCGTTGCTGACGCAACCGAAGTAGAGAGCGAGGCCATCGAAGCCTGGCGGAGGGCGATGGAGGAGGCCGATGAGACTACTCTGGCCATTGGGGTGACCTTGAGGCCAAACGGCGAGACTGAGGTCTTCTCGACGTCGAGCAGTGCCGGATGCATGAGTCCGTCGAGGCGACCCGGAGTCGATGGCGAGCCGGGCGCCTTGCGGCGGGACGACTGTTGGCGGGGGAACGACTCGGATGTCTGGCGCTGCTGGTCAGTGAGGCGGGTACGTGCCGACGACATTCGAACTGAGGCTGCGGGCAGAGGGTGGGGGGTTGCGGTAGAGGTGGAGGCCGAGGCGGAGGCGAGGGAGCGGCCGATGGCGACGGCGTCGGCGCGGACGACACTGGTTGTCTTGCTCTCGACCTGGCTCTGAGTCACGGTTGTTGTCTGGGTTGTGGACATTGTCCGAGCAACCGATGTGGCTTCCGCGGCGAGTGAGCGGCCGATGGCAGTGGCGTCGGCGCGGACAATCTCGGTGTGGGTCTCGGTCTGGGCCTGCCCGGCAAGCAGAGCATGGTTGGGCGTGTCCGCATCGCTGGCCACCGGGTCGAGGGTAGCGGCGCCGGCCTCCGGCTGGATGTCAGAGGCGGCGTCGTCAGCGCCTTGGCTAGCTGCGGCATCGGCGCCGGCGCCGGCATCGGATCCAGTCTCTGAGGCATCTGCATCCGGAACAGCGAGCATGCCCACAAAGTGACCGTCTGTAGCCGGATCTTCTACAAAGGCCACGTCCTGAGCCAGGAGCACATCGTAGACGGCCATGCGCTCTTCCACCGACAGCTCTTTGAGCGAGAGGTGCGCAGCCGGACCCTCGACAAACACCACCTCATCATCCGAAGCCCCTGGATCACCAGCTTCGTGAGCGTCGACACCATCGGGTTGTGCTGCTACAGGAGCAGGAACGGGAGCAGCTGCCAGTGAGGTAGCGGTCGGAGCTGGAGCCGGCAGCGACGAGACTGCCACGACGTCAGTCATGGTCGGGCAGTGGCGCGCGCGAGGGGGAGGGGGAGAGAGGGAGAGAGGGAGAGGGGGAGAGAGGGAGAGGGGGAGAGGGGGAGGGGAAGCACTTGTGGTGGTTGTGGTGGTTGTAGTGGTTGTAGTGGTGTGGTGTGCTTTGGTAGGGTGGGGGTGGCAGTGCTTCTGTGTCTCGGGTCGCTGTGGTCGCCTGTCACCCCCCCCCCTCCAAAGCGCGCTCCATGACTACAGCCACGGCGAGCATCAAATCGACGCTCTGGCGTCTGCTTCTCAGCTTCCACACTGTGTAGTCTA